GCTCACCATCCCTGCCGGCACAACCGCCTCCCCCTTCCCCGCACCCGCCCACCTCAAACGCAAGCCCCTCAACAGCCAACACGACAGCTTCCAACGCTTCGACCAGAGCCACAACCAGCACCACGAGCACCGGCCCCGCAAACGGGCCCGCAACAACCACGGCGGCCTGCCGCCCCCCGGCCCGGACCAATGCTTCTTCTGCCTCTCCAACCCCAACATCGCCACCCACCTCATCACCTCCATCGGCGAAGAGAGCTACCTCACCACCGCCAAGGGCCCACTCCCCACCGCCCGCACCTTCGCCCGGCACGACCTCAACTTCCCCGGCCACATGCTCATCATCCCCTTCACGCATACCCCGACCCTGCCCGCCATCACCGACGAATCCTCTCGCCACGCCACCTACGCCGAGATGACCCGCTACCGCACTGCGCTGCACGCCATGCTCCAGCGCCGCGCTGCCGGCGCCCTCGGCGCCGTCACCTGGGAGGTCAGCCGCGGCAACGGCATCCACGTGCACTGGCAGTTCCTGCCCGTGCCGGCGGCCCTCGTCCAGCGGGGCCTCGTCGAGGCCGCCTTCAAGGTCGAGGCCGAGAATCTCAAATACCCGCGCTTCGAAGCCCCCACCGCCACCGCGGACCCCAGCAGCGAACCCGGCGACTTCTTCCGGGTCTGGATCTGGAGTCCCTCTCCTGCTGATTCAGACAAACAAAACAACAACAACCCAGAAGAAAACCCAGAACCCAACGAAACAACTACCGGCACCGACAAAACGATCCTCCTCCCCCTCGGCCCGGAGTTCCGGTTCGATCTCCAATTCGGCCGCCGGGTCATGGCCAAGTTGATGGAGTTGGAGAAGCGAATCGACTGGCGCAAGGATGTCCAGTCGCAGGAGCAGGAAGAGGCCGATGCGGTCGCCTTTAAGGAGGCGTTCAAGGAGTTCGATTTCACCTTATAGACCAGACCAGGAAACAAAAGCTAAAGCACATTTTCTTTGGAGTCTACTAGCTGTGGTATTCTCGCGCAAGATAGAAGTGTATTCTACCGGGCGTTCACATCTCCAAAACCCAGTTAGCCAGTTTCTCTGCGGATGGGAGTTTGTCTCCGCATTTCGTTCGACTATGCCATGTGTATATGTATCAAAGGGGATTTAGGTTGGCGGTACTCTGTAGTTGGCTGACATTTATTCGATAGCTGGCCAGATGTGGGAATGGTTACGTTGACATGTATTACGGGATAGCGTAGACGGGACATGTAAGAGATAGCATGGGCCCAGGTGTCTCTATGTCTTTGGGCTTTCGACTCGACGAACCATAGAAGATCAAATATCAAGGCAGGACACAGGACAGTACGGCAGTAGCCATCCCACTTCATAAAATTGACAATCATAGATATCAAACATACATCATGCAGGATTCTGTCCCGGGCGGGCCATATCGGACCAAGTATGATACAAGGGAAGGTATATACAAGGTCATGCACGGACAAAGGGGGAGGGGAGCTTATAGTGTGGCATTCCGATGACAAGAAAGAGCAAGGGCCCTCTAATAATCAAAGAGGAATGCAAGGAGATACGCAGCGCAGGGCTGAGTCACTTTTCAGCGTGAAACTCGGCCTTGACTGCTTGCGTGGGGGAATGGGCTTGTCTAGAAATTTTCAGATATCATGGTAGTTCCTATCCTTGTATCAGGCGTTCTACCTAGATCTGTTCAGGTCATGTTGAGTTGCGTCATAATGGCTTCGACATTTAGGGTCATCGGGGATTCTTGAATTGTATTTCAAAACACAGGCGGGTATCAATCCGTAGTCATAACGAAGTTTCAAACGTCCCGGTAAGAGTTCGGCACCGGCCGCCGTCCGGTCTGCAGGAGACTCGGGGGCCTGCCCGGGTCACTAGCTTCGTGAAGAGCCGGCGCGGCAGCGAAAGACGGTGGTGAGGGAGGGGTGACCGGGGAGACACCTTGGTAAGGTACGTACTGGCTGATCGCTGGGGAAGGTTGGCGGTACGGTACGGGCCGAGGGGCATTCATGGCCGATGAGAGGGCGGGAGCCGGAGATCGTGTTCGGTCCATTGGCATATATGGAGGGAGTGGGGTTTCCGATGGCATATAATAAGGCTGCGAATGCTCCGCTGGTGCATAAGCGGGCTGCGTGGTGTAGGTTGGAGCCGGTGACATCGTATGATACCGTTCTTCATGAGGGAAGCCATGATTGTAAGGCTGCTCATCGTATGGAGAAATGGGAGGAGGCGATCTAGGGCCATTGTGATTGTACCCGTATGTGTTCTGAGCGTCGTATCCATGCGGGGCTTGTGCATTGTAGTCTTGAGGCTCGGGGTAGTGGCCAGGAATGTCTGTCCTGTCAAGGTGATGACCAGGAGTGCCCGTCCTCTCTGGGTATTGTCCGGGCGTGCCAGTTCTGGAAGGATATTGCCCAGGCGTGCCGTTTCTGGCAGGATATTGACCAGGCGTGCCGGTCCGAATCGGATATTGACCAGGAGTACCAGTTCTAACCGGGGGAGGGCCCATGTAGCCTCCACCACCCACCCCTCCTCCATTCATTCTAGGCGCAGAAGGCATCCGACGAGGCTCGCGACTGACATGGTTCATAGACTCCAACTCCACTGCCTCCACATGGGGGCCTGTATCTTCCACCCTCTTAGTCACAGCATTATCCCAGCTGGGCATGGCAGGCAATGCATCCTCGTTAAACTTCGACCCTGCAGGGCTCGTCGGGGAGTCAAAGCGAGCGACTTCCGTTCCCCGATACACGGGCGGCGGCTGCGGAGCTTGATATGGAGACTTTACTGGCATCGGGGGTGGCATAGTCCCTGGCATAGCCCCCGGCATAGCCCCCGGCATATCTGGGGGTGGGTACGGATCATCCAAGTGCTTAGCCTTGCGTTGCCTGTTTCGAGGCGACGGGCAGCACATTGAACAACATCCGCAACATCCTTTGCAGCATTGGATACCGCAGCATAGACAGTTGACAATACACGCAATGACGGACAGAACAATGAGTCCGCCGACGATGATAGCCGCAATGACAGGCCACCTAAAAACTCTGGTCAGTTTCTGGAAGTATTGTAACGAGGTTTGATATGCTGTTTTCATATAACATACTTGCAGTAAGCCTTGGACATGCAGCTATCCCAACTCGAGAATGTAGAAGAGGCAGACTTAAGATCGCTGACTATATCTCGCGCCCACAATGGGGCGGGGACCGTATCCACCGGACTCATTATGGCCCTGGCAGTCCGTGTGCTCTAACCTTGCCGCTAGTCTACAAGAACACCCCACTCTTGTTCAAGGACCGGGTGAAACGAATGTAACCGGTCAAAGTTATAAAGTGTGTTCTGTAAACGTGTGCCTGACACGTCGGATGCGATCATATAATTTGCGGCGTGATGATAACAAAAGGAGCGGTATCGACCCGGATAGCGATCGTGGGCGTCGTTTCGGAGTAATTGGGGTCGGGAATAGCAACAATGCCGAAGATTATGAATGAATGTATGCGTTGTTTATGTGTCCATCCGCTCCTTCGGTCTGGGTGCAATGAGTGACTCAGGTTGCGACTTTGCGCGATGCCGAATTTGCGCAAGGTGGAATTGAATCGTGCGTTCTAAAGGGGCACAGGATATGCAAAATCTGTATTCTCACAATGGACCGATTGATGCGACAGTGTAATAAAGACTAAATGGATGGAAAATGATCTTTGTTTCGAGTATTGTGCGTGCGCTCAAAGAGCACTCACTGCCTTCAGGGGGAAGGAGGGAAATGAACGATCAGATGTAGACTTTCAGGCACCTGCAAGGCATTGGTCCCCCTTCCAGGACTGGGAAATAGGGAGCCGAATAGAACGAACGGCGCCGCTAGGAAGTCCCTAAGCGACCGGAGGGAAGATAACTAGAAGCCAAAACGAAGGAGAAGAAGAGAAGGGAGGAGGAGGAGGAGGGGGAGGAGGAGGCAGGGAGAGGAGTAGGGTGAAGCGGAACGAAAGAGAGAAAGGAACTTCAGTTCAAAGATCGGCGTTCCATGAGTGCGGAGAGAACAACCATCAACCGATCAAACACCACAAACCTCGTATTTGCGGCCCCATCTCGCCCTTATCACTAAGTAAAGTCAACTAACTTGCACTTGAAACTGTCGCTCCCCCCCTTCCTCGGTCGCACTCCACCAGTGTCGATCGAAACGAAGGTGAAACCCCCTCATTGGCAGTCGCAGGGCCCACTGAACCTCCGTGGCATCATGTACTCAAGTACTTAGTAAATGACCATCATACTCATAGTCTACGTACCTTCCAACAACAACAAGTACTACTACTACTACAAAAAGAGATTATAACCCTGTCTTGAGCTGATCGAGTGTCTTCCGACTCGAATCAGAAACTAGGAAGTAGGATTGTGAAGCGCGGGAGAGACCCCAAGGCGAGCAATGGCAGAACTCGGCTGCCTAACCCATGGCCTGCGGTGCTCACTTGTTCTCCCCTTGAACTCCCAAACCAAGATAAGTTCCCAGAAATGGACAAGATAGGCAGCATCGGTGAATCGACAGGGCTATCTTGATTTGATTCCAGATCCACTGCGCAACACATGGTTCCTCAGGAGTTCATTTATATGCATTAGAGATGAAGCGACATTGGTGTAGGAGACATGCCACGGCGAAAAGCAGGAGGACCGTATGACACAAATAAAAATAATAGGTGCAATGGAAGGTATCGAAACGTCATGCAAACCAGGCTCCCAATAGTGACAAGAAAAAGAAAGAAAGAAAGAAACCATAGATCAACACCCCCGACAAAGTCATTAAAATACGAGTAGGGAATAGAGAATACAACACAAAGATACTCATGAGTCCCGTCACACATTTTGCTCGTAACAGCCTCTCCTCGAGTCGGTCGCGAGGTGAAGGGCGACATATTCCATAACGGCCGATCAAGAGACTCCTTGAGAATAGACATAGTGTTTCATTTCGTTGGTGGAAGGGCAAAGGCAGGTGTGATTAGACCTTGGAGGCCGGAGGAGGACCCGGCGGTGGTTGATATACACGTTCGCCACCATTGTGGTAGGCATTCTGTGGTGGTTGCAGTTCAATGCCCGTTTGCTGCTGGCCCCCGAAGTAGCCGTACTGGGGATGAGGAGAGTATTGCGGCGGCGGGGCAGGCTGGTAGTAAGGGTCTGCGTAGTACGGTTGTCCAGGCTGTTGCTGTTGCTGCGATTGCTGAAAGGTCGGCGGAGGGCCCGCGAGCCATGCGGTGCCGGGATGAGGACGAAGGCCTTGTCTGCGCCGACGGCGAGCATTGAAGCAGCTGCCAAAATAATTAGTCTTCGGACTTGTTCTTGCACAAGAAGGGAGGGGATGACATACGCGAAGAGGAAAAAGACAAGTAAAGCTACTCCAACAATGACAGCAAAGGCGATCCATCGACCCCAATCGTACCAGCTATTGCCATCGCAGACATAGCCATTATATGTCTCCCGGCTAGATAGTTGTTAGGAATTTTGCGAAAATCTTGTGTATCCATGGCGTACATCCATAAGATGCGAATGTAGCGATACCATGGTGTGTTGAGTTTACATACCAATCTCGACGTAGCAGGACACCCATGGTGGCTGAACCTCTCGATGCGAGGCGCTACTCTGGGGGAGGCGGCGGAGGATGACGTCGATCAGCAGGTGTAGAGAAATTGACGAAACGAGTGCAAGATGAGTTGAAGATGAACTGATGTCGAATCAAACGGGTTTGAGAGAGGTTTGGGCAAGCAAAGAACTTGGGCCAGGAACAATGTAAAGGGAGAGAAGAAGAGAGTGAGAAGTGAGTTGAGTGAGTGAAGAAGTTCTTCTTGGGGCGGGTACCAGAAGGCAGCAGCCAAAAGTTGAGTGAAAGGAACTGCACGGCTAGTAGGAGTAAGTGGTTTAGTCTATTGGGTAGGGCTGTGGCCTGTGGCTAAAAGAAGTGGATTCCTCCGTTTAGTGTAAGGAATTGGAACTTATCAACTGTTTTCAGGATGGCTGGGAGGGGGGGGGGGAAAGCCTTGGAGAAGTTAGAACTAGTCAGGTTCCTCCTCTTCTTGGCCTTTCTAAAATTGAAACATGAGTAAGTCAGAGATTGAATGGTAGCATCATCGACTGTGAAATTGAATCAATTCGAGTCCCATCGAGATTTTTCCTTTTCGCAAAAGCACCCTGAGTAATGAAGTCATCCGAGGTCATCGTTGCTCCCAATGACCGCCGTATAGTTACTACTGGTACTGTACCTTGTACTCCGTAGATTCAGCCACACTTCATCACCGCATGTGGGGACCAACAACTGCATAATTTTGTACAAACTAAAAGCTACAATGAAGTCCGTCTTATTCTCCTACACTAGATCCCCATCCCTCACCTTCACATTTATAATCCTTGATCTTTTCGCCCTCCTTCTCATCCCCTTCGCACCTCATTCGAAATCAATTCTGGTGCCTGCTTGCCATACCTTACTATGTCCAGTACAGTAGCATGGCATCGGATCCCTCGGATGACTGCCACCCGCAATCGACGGTCGGATGGAAACAAAGATTCCCGGTTGCATGGCAGAACAACTACAAGTCAAATCAACATCGCATCACGAGCTTACTCTCTCAAGCTTACATCTCGTGATCCGGTGCCACAGTAAATTACCCGTTCGATTCGCACTACCGTGGACGGACACCTTCAACACACTTTCCTTGAGGCTGTGCTGTCTCGGCATGATATCATCCACCGCAAGGCAGACCAGACCAGAGCAGAGACCAGAGCTCTGGGCTCCATAGCAGTATTTACGCCGATGTCCTGCAACGAATACTACTGTAGTGTCAATCAAAGTGATTAGCACTTTACAGATTATGGAAGAAGCTTTTATGCACACACAAGTGGCAGTGCAGTCAGTGATTTCACCGAGTTTGTTGGGCCCAAACGAATTGCTGGCATCTACTCCCTGTGCCATTCCAAATCCCGGTATACCGGTATAGATCTGTAGTTGACGGCCGTTCTACAACGGCGAAGAGGAAGAATTAGACCGATACAGCGACGCTCACTACATACAAGTCCATGCTTAATCTAGTGTAAGTACACATAAGCTTACTCACTCACCATCTTAATCATTATAGCTCCAATGAAAAGGGAACTACTCTAATCCAGTCAAATCTGAAGGATGACTACTCTATACTAGGTAGCCAACGAACACAACTCCAAAGAATACTAACCACCCCACCCCATTATGAATCACCCACATCCTAATCACAAGTGCCGTGCGATGACAGCGCGCAAACGGACAAGGGCCACTGGACCTTCGCTGGACCCTGTTGGTGGGGGCTAGGATTTGCTGGAAAGACATGGGAAGGGCTTGCTTAGTTCCCGTCTACGCAGCTGCAATGCCAACGCATCACTTGGTCTGTGTGCGTGCGCGTGTGTGTGTGTCTGACCTTTTTTTGTTTGGTTTGCCCTGTTGTTGTTTCTTTCCTTCCCCCCTCCCTAAATTCCCCTCGATCAACATTCTCTCTAATGTTCTGAATAAGAAGAATGTCATGCCCTTCAATCAACAAGTGCCGATGTTTTCAGTTGTTGCAGTGTGCCTGGCGCAGTGAAGTGCGCGACTGACGGCGCTCTCTACGTCTTTCCCTTCTATACTTGAATCAAACCGAGGCGCATCACCAGATTCTACATCTTATACGCATCATACACAATCTCCACCTCGGATCCCTTTCTGGATCTGGGGTGGGCCGGTCACCGCACCAGTCTTCTCGATCGATGGTTTGCTCGCTTCGATATAATGATAGATTACATGCAAGATATGCGGTAACAACTCCAAAGACTATCTCATTAACATAACATCCATGAAACAGAAAGCTTCGCTAGAATTCGAACAATGTGCCTGGCTCACAAAAAACGTTCACATCGTTACAACTAGGCCGCCAGCCGTGAACAACGGCTGCAGTCTACGATCTCCAATCTCGCGTACGAAATGAAGAATAGAAGGGCGATGAGGGTCCGATTACTCGGTCGTTTCCCTCGGGTGCCATCCTCAGATCAGTCACCTCTACCGGCTGGCACGGGCGATTAACCAATGCAGAACTGCATCGAGGTTGGTTTCTTCTTTTGCGCTGATACCATAACAGCTCACCTCCCGGTGGGTAATGGATTTCAAGTCCATCGCTTCGATCAGATCATCCACCGACAACTTATTGGGGAGATCCGATTTGTTCCCCAGCACGAGGAGGGGGATCCCATCGAGCGTGGACTTTTTCATCAGGTCATGCAGCTCTTCCGTTGCGACTGGCAGAGCGGCGCGATCTGCCGCATCCACAATGTAACTAAATGGTGAGAGTCAGTGACGTCCATCGCCTGACGTTGACGTCCAGGAGAGAAGGATGCTTTACACGATCGCATTAACGCCTCGACAATACCGCTCCCACATCGGTCGGAATCGCGGCTGGCCCCCCAGATCCCAGCTGCACTGAATATTAGCCACAACACTGACGACTTATGCAATAGCTCGATACCAGAGCAGGGTACCCACCACTTCAAAGTCACATGTCCTTTTTGGACACGCTTTGTGTTGAACCCAATGGTGGGGATCGAACTACCAGTGTACATCAGCGATCGGTTGACTCTGCGCCATCTTTGAGCCAGGCCTGATGCGGTCGGACTTACTCTACAGTGAACTCCCCGCCCTGTGAAGGTGATTAGCGATAGTTTCGGCTGGATCATGATGGCCAAGACATACCGCAAGAACACGCAACAAAGAAGACTTTCCTGCATTTTGGAGCCCAATCATGGTGACATCCATCTCCGTTGCCCTACAGAGGCATCATATACAAGCGATCTTAGCAAATCATCCTATGCCTTCTCGGCGGGGAACGGGCCGCAGGATGGAGGGACCATCTCCGGGGAGAAAACGATTTACTTATTCGGGGATTTTGGGAAGGGGGGGGCGGCGACGGCCCACTTACCAGAACATCCTCAGAAGCCAGTCATAGATCGTTCGAAAGATACCCGCCATATTGGTAGTGAGAAATTGAGAAGGAAAAGTGGTGGTCGGAATTTCCTAATATGTTGTGTTGCAAAAAGAGCAAGTGGAAAACTGCAGCTTGGCTCGGCTGGTGGGCGATCGACAACCGGGGTGTGGGCGGTGATATCGAGTTTCCAAGGACACACGGACGCTGTGTACGGTGTGCTAAGGTGCTGGGACACCGTGGGGTGGGGATTGCCGTTCGAAGGGAGAGCCGCCGTGTTCCAACAAAACAGAGGAGAAGAAGAAGAAGAAGAAGAAGGAGTAGGAAGGTAGAAATCTGTCGCAGCGAGCAAAAGAACTGTAAGGATATGAAGACGAGAAGAGAACGGCGTAGAAGAGCAACAACCTGTGACCTGGAGATGCAAGTCGGGATTTCGCCAGACTGCGGCAGATTGTTATTGTCGTAGTTATTATTGTTGTAAAGGGTCAAGGCTGGTGGGAAAAGAAGAAAGTAAAATTCACTAAGCACCGATAAAGGCGGCAAATTTCCAAGTTTTTTGGACAAGCCTCAAGGCGGGTGTAGTGACAGAGGGAAGTAATCAAAATAATTTCTTCTTCTGAAGCCTTATTCTTTTTTCTTTCCCGCTTGGTGGTGAGACCGAGCAGCGTTGATGGATGGATCGATCTACTAAGTACGAGTATGTGCACGCATGACCGTTCGCTCTTGCGCCTGCACCGCCGCCGCCGCCGCGGAGAAGAAGAGGGAGGGTGAAGGAGGGAGGGGAACGCCTACTAGTCAGTGCTCTCTCCAGTGCAGGCAGTACAGTACGTAGTAGTGAACTAAGGTAAGGTAGTCCTGGTCCTGACCAGTCAGTCAGTCAGTCCCCTGTCAGGTCTGTGTCTGTGTCTGTGCCTGTGTCAAGTCTGTCAGAACTCTGCTCGAATGCTCAGAGCAGTATGACGGCCTATCTTCCAGTCGCAGCGCTTTTCTCCCTTCAAAAGAGTTGATCGGTGAAGATGAACGACATTCCGACTAACCATAAGCTGTAAGTTACCGTTAACCTAACTTTAAGCAGACTGATAAGTCTGCGATTAGTTAGTGAGGCCGGTCAGTGACTAAGAAGTAGCCAGCGTGGAAAATGTATCCAAAGGAATGACGGCAATTCCCGGGAGCATGAGTTAAGATTAAACAGATTAATGAGACAATGGCCGGTCACCCTGTTCGCTCATGTCGGCGACGGGCTCCTCGTACTCGGTATAATTGTCGCCAACAGGACCAAGACTGACTGTACAGTACGAAGTCAGTCTCAAATCATCCCTTTGACTTGTCACTCTGACTGTTCGAAAAACCCAGGAGACAAACTACTCCATCAGCGCAGGAGAACTGGGAACATCCAGCAGGCTGGCGTCCACTTAGACTCGACCTCGAATCGATAGTTCCATACTAAAACCACCATCAATGACGACGGAGGATGGGTCCGCCGCCGCCATTGATTGTGGATTGATTGATTGGCATTGATTGATTGTCTGGCTATGAAGAGGCCCCGCCCGGGCCCGGCATGCTCTTTGCCTTGTTGCCTAAGGTGGTAAGGCGGAACTTCTGTCCCGTGCGTTAGTTAGTCCCGTGATGCGAATGGCGGTCTGCATTTTCTGCACTTTCTGCCCCTCCCCTCAATCCCGTGACTTCTGGCTCAGGCCACAAAGCATTTACCTGCACGACTATCAGCACGTGATGATATCTGTCCGTCGGGTCCACCTCGAAAAATTTCCCCGTCGGTCGAGGATGAGGCTTCGTCCGTTCCTCAGACTGAACTTGGGGTCTCACTCCAGTCTTCTGGGTATCATAGAGCGCTTCTACTGCGCCAGACGCTTTCCTGACCATGGCTCCCACAGCGACTGACACCAATTGGTCTGTCAACTACGATACCCTGAAGCGGGAGAAGCTCTTCAGGAACCCTCCCACCGACCATACCGCATACCCAGCGTTGGCCGCCTCCATCCGGCCGCACGTCGATTCTTTCAATGCGCTCTTCGACGGTCCCAAGACCCTGGAAGAGGCCCTGAAGGACATTGGTACCAAGACTTTCCTCGACGGCGATGCTGAAACCCCCGATCAGAAGAAGGCTCGCATTGCGGAGGGTCGCAAGGCTCCGAGACGGAACCGGCTCAACGTTCGGATCAGTGAAGTTTTTCTCGAGAAGCCAGCACTGCCCCCTACCAACAAGTTCGCGACTCGCAACCGCAATATCTATCCCTCGGAATGCCGTGAGAGACACGCGACGTATCGCGGGAAGCTGCGCGCTCGCATCGAGTGGCAGGTCAACAATGGCGATTGGATGGAGTCGGTCCGAGAATTGGGCCAGGTCCCCATTATGCTGAGGGTAAGTTGATGACGAGTTGGACACTGTCTGTCCGGTGACGGTCCGCAGTTACTGACCACGCTGGCAGACCAACCGATGCCATCTCGAGAAGGCGACCCCTCATGAACTCGTCGAGCACAAGGAAGAATCGGAGGAGCTGGGTGGTTATTTCATTGTCAACGGAAACGAGAAGCTCATTCGAATGCTGGTGGTCGGAAAGCGAAACTACCCCATGGCGATCATTCGTGGTTCCTTCGTCAAGCGTGGCCACACATACACCAAATACGGTATCCAGATCCGGTCCGTAAGGCCAGATCAGACATCGCAAACGAACTCTCTACACTACTTGACCGACGGCAACCTGACCTTCCGTTTCTCCTGGAGAAAGAACGAGTACCTCATCCCGGTGATGATGATCCTCAAGGCCTTGGTAGAGACGAACGATCGCGAAATCTTCGAGGGAATCGTGGGCGGCGCCTCGTCTGAGGGCATCAAGAACACATTCATCACGGATCGTGTGGAGTTGCTGCTTCGGACATACAAGGCATACAACAAGCACAGCCGCTCGGCCTGCCGATCATATCTCGGAGAGAAGTTCAAGCCTGTTCTTGGAGTCGCGGCCGACATGTCCAACGAAGATGCCGGTACCGAGTTCCTCCGCAAGGTTGTCCTCCCCCACCTGGGCTGCCACAACGTCACCGAAACCCAGGATTACGACAAGTTCAAGATGATCCTGTTCATGATTCGAAAGCTCTATGCATTGGTTGCCGGAGATTGCGCTCCGGACAATCCGGATGCGGTCTCCAACCAAGAAATCCTTCTTGGTGGTTTCCTCTACGGAATGCTTCTCAAGGAAAGGCTCGAGGAATGGGTGAGGTCTTTCAGCCCAATTCTCAGGGACTGGTCCAACCGCAACAGCGGAGCCAAGTTCACCGATTCCGCATTCGAGAGGGACTTCCTCAGCAAGGTTGTGAAGCGGTCCAACGAGAACATCGGAGGAGCTCTTGAATATTTCCTTTCCACCGGTAACCTGGTCAGTCCCACTGGTCTTGATTTACAACAGGCATCCGGTTACACTGTCATGGCAGAAAAGATCAACTTCTACCGCTTCATCAGTCACTTCCGCATGATTCACAGAGGTAGCTTCTTCGCACAGCTCAAGACCACCACGGTCCGTAAGCTGTTGCCTGAGAGTTGGGGTTTCTTCTGCCCTGTACACACTCCTGATGGAGCTCCTTGTGGTCTGCTTAATCATCTTGCGCACAAGTGCTTGATCGCCACTAGTGACGTTGATGTATCAAAGATTCCCAAGGTCTTGGTGCAGTTGGGTGTTCGTTCTGAGTCGTCTGTTTCCGTGGAGGAGAGCGTGACTGTCCAGCTGGACGGACGCGTCATTGGATACTGCTCCCCCAAGCAGGCTGGCGCAATTGCCAACACGCTAAGACGCTGGAAGGTGGCAGGAGACGACCGTATCCCTCTCGAGCTGGAGATCGGCTACGTCCCCAACTCCAATGGCGGTCAGTATCCTGGTATCTACATGTTCTCGCAAGCCGCCAGAATGTTCAGACCCGTCAAGTACCTGCCCTTGGGTAAGCTCGACTACGTCGGCCCATTCGAGCAGCCCTTCATGGAGATTGCCTGCATGCCCAACGATCTTATCTCGGGCGTTTCCACCCACATCGAGTTCACTCCCACGAACATGTTCTCCATTGTCGCCAATATGACGCCATTCTCCGATCAGAACCAATCCCCTCGTAACATGTACCAGTGTCAGATGAGCAAACAGACCATGGGTACGCCTGGTACTGCGATCGATTACCGCACCGACAACAAGCTGTACCGGTTGCAGACTGGTCAGACCCCGATCGTGCGGTCGCCGCTCTACAACGCCTACGGTCTGGACAACTTCCCCAACGGTACGAACGCTATTGTTGCTATTATCTCCTACACCGGTTACGACATGGACGACGCTATGATCATCAACAAATCCTCCCACGAACGTGGCTTCGGTCACGGTACGATCTACAAGACCAAGGTCCATGGCCTTGACGACAACGACTCCCGCCGCGGCAAGTCCCGCCGTGAGATCACCAAGCTCTTCGGTTTTGCCCCTGGTGACCAGATCAAGGCCGAATGGCGTGCCACCCTCGATGAAGACGGTCTGCCTCACATTGGCGCCCGAGTCAAGGAAGGCAGCTATGTTGCGGCGTGGCACAACGTGCGGTATGACGCCGCCAGCGACTCGTACGTGAACGTGGATGGCGTCACTCACTTCGTGAAGTACAAGGACGCGGAAGAAGGATACATCGACAGCCTGCGCATCCTGGGAGCCGAATCCGGTGTCGAGCCCTGCCAATCGATCAGCGTCAGGTACCGCATTCCCCGTAAGCCGATCATCGGTGACAAGTTCTCCTCTCGTCACGGACAGAAGGGTGTTTGCTCGCAGCTCTGGCCCGCGGTGGACATGCCCTTCTCCGAAAGTGGCATCCAGCCCGACCTGATCATCAACCCTCACGCTTTCCCTTCCCGTAAGCTCTTTCCCCTGCCCCTAACCCCCTACACCCTTTCCTCAACATTCATCTAACCGCTCTTTCAAACAGGTATGACAATCGCTCAAATGGTCGAATCCATGGCCGGTAAGGCCGGTGCCCTCCACGGCCACCCGCAAGACTGCACGCCGTTCCAGTTCTCCGAGGAGAACACGGCGGTGGACTACTTCGGGCAGCAGCTCCGCAAGGCCGGGTACAACTACTTCGGCAACGAGCCCCTGTACAGCGGGATCACGGGCAAGGAGTTCGCGGCGGACATCTTCATCGGCGTGGTCCACTACCAGCGTCTGCGTCACATGGTCAACGACAAGTTCCAGGTCCGCACCACGGGCCCCGTCAACAACCTGACCGGCCAGCCCGTCAAGGGTCGTGCCAAGGGCGGTGGTATCCGTGTCGGTGAGATGGAGCGCGACTCGCTGATCGCCCACGGCGCCGCCTTCCTCCTGCAGGACCGTCTCATGAACTGCTCCGACTCCACCCGCTCCTGGATCTGCCGCGACTGCGGCTCCTTCCTCTCCACCCAGGTCGTCGCCTCCGCCGCCGGCTCCAGCAAGGCCCGCATCGCCGCCGCCAAGGCCGCTTCCTCCCAGTCTGCCAGCAGCAACAAAGACCACCACCACGGCCCCAGCGGCCTATCCGGCCTCGTCCGCTGCCGTCGTTGCGCCCGCGAGGCCGTCTTCGATGACTCCCGCGCCGTCGTCTGGGAGGACGGGGACGGTCGTCGCTACGTCGGCGGCGATAACGTCACCGTCGTCGCCGTGCCGGGAGTGCTGCGGTACCTGGATGTCGAACTCGCTGCCATGGGTATCCGGATGAAATTCCGGGTGGATAACTAGGTAGCCAGCCGCCAGCCCCCGCTAGGACAGAATGTGTCTTTTTTAAACCTCCCAAAAAAAAAAGCATTGATTGTCGTGTTTGTTTTCTGTTTGTCATAGATGGGCGTATTTCAGCAACTTCTTTTTAATTTCTGCTTGGTTCTTGGAGACGAACGTTTGTATGCTACTTCACCACACTCACACATACGGTATGGATTTGTTATGTAGTGCATGTTGCTGTGAATAAGATTTTTCTTTACTTTCCTTTCCTCTCCGTTTTACTGCTATGGTTGGGTGTGACGTACGGGTTAGTCGCTAATGTAGTAGGTACCTAATCTCTACCATGGGTGTCGTCGGTGCATGTCTTTTGCGCTATGCGTTTCCAGGCTATCATCTTCCCTCTGGATAGGTACACATCCCAGCCGGCAAACCTGCTACCCTAAGCCAGTTTATGGAATAACTACGGTATTACTTCCATACCCAGAAATACCCAGAACCCAGAAAAGCAAATCGACAGAAGTATCAAAGTTTGATCATTTCATAAAGTTATCCACACTCCATACAAAAGACCGGAAAAAACTACCACTGAAGAGCGCGGGGGTGGGTAAACCTGCCTAGAGAGCCTAAATCTATCTACTAGGTAGCCACCCACCCACCCATCCTGTTCTAAAAACCGACCTACAACTCCGACGTAACGTTCGAGAACTCGCCCTTCTCCAGCTTCGTCTTCCAGAATATGGGGTTCATATCGTCGAAGCCGTGGTGGACCCAGCCTTCCTCCTTGACGTGGTACAGGTTGATGAACCCACCGGAGTAGGCGTCGCGGTGCATGGCGGCCAGGATACTGCGGCGGCCGAGCTCGAGGGCCTCCTGCTCGGTCAGGTCGTACCGGTAGTTGGCGTCCAGCACACCGTAGGCGAAGGTCTGACCGGAGCCGACGCAGAAGAGGTTGCCGGCCAGCCGGGTGCCGTCGGAGTCGATGTAGTAGAGGGCGGGGCCTTCTTGCGGGGTCATCTGTATATTCGATGTAAAGTGTTAGAGCAATGATTCCATGGGTCAACGAGATATAATTGGGGGATAATTGGGGGAAAGGGGATGGTGAGATATCAAAACGTACGCCTGCTAACATCGTTCCCATGCTCAGACCCATCCCCTTGTACGCGTATGTTAGGTTGGCGAGGATTTTCGAGGCCGCGGCGACGGTGATACGGCGCTTGTGTCGGATTTCTATGCAACCCAAAAGGTTAGTGGCTGTGCCTCGGAGACAAAGGGGGAAAAGCCTACCGTGCAGTGTGCATTGCTGGCTCAGATATCTCAACCAATATTGACAATCCTGGGCGGCAAGCGCATGCCGTCAGCAATCTGTATTTCTGCAAAAAAAAAGTTTCGCAAACCGGGCAACACATACAGCAGCACCACCAGCCATGGTTCCCAGCAGACCCGGAGTCGGCTCGTTCGTCGGCTTATCTTCGCCGCGACTCAACCGCGAAACAGGGATAACCTTCTTCACTGTCTGACTGGCGATCCAGTTTCCAGCGGTGGCTCTGGAATCTGTCGCGACGATCTTGTGGCAGGAACAAATCCGTCAATTATCATTCTCTCAAGACAAAGGATGTGGAAACGGGTGGAGGATGACGGCATACAATTCCGCCCTGGAACCGGAAAGCCAGCGTCGTCGTTCCGTGGGCAAGTTTGATGGGACAGCTGGGGTTCGAGTGGTCATCGGTCATAGCACGGAGGAAGGCTCTGGACTGGATTCCGGGGTTAGCTGATCGATCATGGGCTCCGTGAGGGGAAGGACAGTTCATAGTGTCTGTTCAGGCGGCGGCAGCGGCGGCGGCGTCGACTCCGAACATAGTTCGTATCGACGTCCACCAAGAGAGGGAGGCCCAGATAGCACGCAGAATTCTGATGGCACAGTGCTCACATTATCGACGGGAGGAAGGCTGAACTTCAAGGACAGAGGTGGAAGGCTCTCGGTGAGCTCACGCTGTTCTTGCTCGGAGTAGAACTCATTCTGGTGCGGCGCCCGCGTGTATTGGGCGACCAATTTATCCATGATGTGCGAAAGGTGATTGTTGGGTTCGAATACGTGGCAAGAACGGTGGTGAGGAAGAAATAACACAGCAGATGGTGGAGAGAGGATGGAGAAGTATGAGATGGAGATGGCAGATGCAGCTCGGGAGCTCTGATGATTGATGATGCTGGGAGCTCCAATCCCTCCGTCCGCGTCACGCTGGCCGCCTGGATCACGTGCTGTCTACCGTCTGCCTGATCCACAGCAACTATGTCGCTACATCCTACTTAAATCTACTGAAATTTACTGGTCTTTTCACAAACGCAAGGTCAATAATCGCATTCCTACTTATACAGAATCAACTAACGGAGCAAACTCAATCTATGTTTACATTTTTCATCTTCTTGTTCGCTGACCCGACCTAAACCCTCATTTTCATAGTAACCGAACTTAAGACATGCAAGAGACCCAAAATCCAAGCCGAACATGAACAGGTAAGAATCAAATCGGAACGGCAATTGGATGCGCAGGAATAGGGCTCGATACATAAGGAACCTCAGAGCCACGAGAGATAGGCGCCGACTGCAGGTCCTGTGATGTCCGCAGCAGCTCTTCGCTGGTCTTGCCAACGGGTTCGGAAACAACCCCGTTAGCAGTCTGTCCCTGAACTTCCTCACCAGTGTACTTCTCTGTACCAGGAATCTTGCTGGACTGCGCTTCGGTTCCACTAATAACGGCTGGGTCTTGAGCTGTACCGGTGGTATAACGTTCTTCAGCAGCAGTATTGGTGGTTGCGGGCTCCGGGGCGGAGGTGTCAGCATACAGCTCAGAGCCGGCACCGTCGACGTAGCGGTCATGATCCGTTCCATCAGCATACGAATCCCGATGGGCTGCATCAGGAAATGCCTCAGTACCGTGACCGTTCGCATACGGCTCGGCGGGGGTCTCGCGAGCATATCCATTTACCCCAGTGTCGTTGCCGTTAGCATACGGCTCGGCGGGGGTATCACGGGCATATCCGTTCGCCCCAGTGCCTTGGGCATACGACCCCTCTGCGGAACCGTTCACGTCCCGCACGGAGTCCGAAGCAGTTGTTTCAACTGCATAAGCCCCTTGCGAGTCACGCACGCCACGACCGGACCGTGGCAGAAGGGTGCTGTCCAGGGCGTTCCCGGCTGAAGTATGAATGGGCTCTGCGCTGCTCTCCCACGCGCGAAGTTCATTCTCAGCATCCTCAATGACCTGTCTTGTGGCCGAAATCTGGTCATACTCCCGAGGGGAGTCTCCCGGGACGACCGGAGTGTCATCTAGATGGTTGAGCAAACGGCGTGCGTGACGGGCCAGCAGGATCTGCTTTTCTCCGCGCTCGATAACAGCCGCCAGGTGTATATCGTACGCCTCCTTGAACTTCGATCGAGTCTATACACCTCACAGTCAATATCTCTCAGCCTTTCCTTTGAAAGGAAGTTTCGGAGAACGTACCACATTAGTCAACTGCGCCTCGGCCACCAAACTCTGCGCCTCGGCCCGGACGAGCTCCTGCTCCAGGATATCAATCCGGTTGCTCTGCGGCTCCTTCCACTTGAGCTTCTGGATCTCGTCGGCGATCTTGGCGCGCTGGTCGCGCGACGGCTGCACCGAGTTCTCGGTGTCCCGGATGTGCTTCAGGACCACGCGCGATTCCTCGAGGTACTGGGCGAAGTTGTCCTCCTGCTCGCCCATCTCCGCCATCAGGACGGCGAGCTTGTCCGTGATGTCCGAGACGGCATCGTCCTCCGTCCACTCGCCCCAGTCGGACAGCTGGTTGGCGATGGAGACGCGCTCCCGGCCGGCCTTCTCGTGGGCGCCGATGGCCGCGTTCTCGTTCTTGATGAGCTGGTTGAGTCGCCGGCTGGTCTCGGGCTGCTGGTGGCCGCGCAGGGTCGAGAAGCTGAACCGGGTCCGGTTGGGCGCGGAATTCCTCCGGCCCCGGATGGACATGTTGCGGTGCCTGAGTGAGGTAGCGGTCAGCCGCGAAAAATCTACATGCATATTTGCCTGTCGACCTGAGAGGGTTCGAAGGGCTGGCTTGCGTACATGATTGCCATGATACTGTTCAGTGTGACGTTGCTTGGTTTTTTGGGACTTTACAATAAGAGAAGAGATTGTACTGGAGAGCGTAGAGGTCGGATGCTTGGACGCAGGAAACAGGAACGATATGATGTTCGAGATAAGATCGCTCCTTCCCTGGACGTACAGATTTACTTGTTTGTTTAAAGAGGTAGTAAGTACTCAAGGTGAGCAAGGCAGTCAGTTGCAGATTGTGCGAAGTAGGTAGAGTAGAGTGGTATTGTGTCGAGATCTGAAACACGGGATTCAGATGGATAATGTATAGATCGATCAGCGGTGGGGTGTAAGGCAGACGAACCTCGACGGGGAAGTGGTTCATGCCGTGGCACATCTTGTGAGTGATGTGATTGTCTCGATGGCGTATGTACTGTACAATGCAGTGACGTCATGCGGGCATGAACGGATGCTGTAGGCTGTTGAAGTCATTGTCCGCTTGCAGAATCTCTCGATCCCATGGGTGGGATGGAGCTTAATCTCCTTCGGTGATCGGACGGGCATCACGATCGGGGGAGTGGAGTGGATCATGTGCTTCATAGAACTGAACTGAAGCTCAAACTGACTAAGTATACCAACAGACAAACAACAACAACAACAACCCCAATGCGACACATAAAACAACACCCCACAGATTAGGACAAATCAAAGCATAACCACTGCGCGCATACACCACAGTCTGGCCATATCCTCAGCAATCGCACAGCAAGGCCCAAACCCCCAGGTCTAACACCGAGCAGGAATATACTCCACCTCAACCTCGCATTCTCTCTCCCTCTCCACCTCCACCTCCCAAACCGGCCCACAACGCCCCCATCCACCCACAACAAGACACGCCTCCGGCTCCACGATCTCAACGCATTCCACCGCCGTCGCCCTCGCCGGGATACACCGATACGCGCAACGGACATCCACCCACGCCGGCCGCGGCCGTTCCGCCCGGATGGGAATCAGGGATTCTTCAATGGTCTGGCACCGGGACCGGCTTCTGCGGACGGTCGTGTAGGAGGGAGCAGCAGGAGCGGCCGCAGGACGACGACGACGCCGCGGGGATTAGCACCGCGGTGGGGGGCGGATGGGACTGCTGCTGCTGCCACCACTGTGTCCGTGACGAGAGCGGCTGCGGCTGCGGCTTCGGTATTCCCTGAAACAGACGCTGCAGGGTTCCTCGGTACATTCCGTGAAGCACATCGCGTGTCGCGTTCGCGTCGCTGTATCCGTATACGTATACTGTAGATCAGAGTATCGTGTGGCGTATGGAAGGCGTACGGCGGCGAGGAATGAGGGTGTCGATCTAGAGGTAGTAGCAAGAGAAAGAGCAAGAGCGGTAATATGCGGTTGTGCTTGCTCAGACTACGCTGAACCTCTAGAACTGGTGAATTGATTGCTCGACCTTATGCACCACTCCAACAGATCAGCCTCGGAACTCTTATACCCAGGCTTGGGCACAGGAATACCTAGTAACCTCAAATTTGGGGGGCCTGGGTGTTTCAGATTCGGTGGCACAGCCCGCACGCTGAGGTGGAGTTTCCCTGAATATCATTTCTCTTGGAAGACGGGCATAACATCCCTCAAAGAGATCGTTCGGAGGGGGTTTCCTGAGCGAGAGTTGGGACGTTTGGTTTGTTCTGCGTCCTTTGAACGGGATCACTTGACCCGCGCATGGCGCATCTAATGCGGGTGATCGGGCCCGGTGATGGGGGATGGGGTTCTCAGCTAATAAGTCTTGGGGAGTTATATGATTCCGAAAAGATGTGTCCGTTCCTCTGATGTTGTGGTATGACTGACAGGGAGAATCAAATTGAGGGTCAGTGGCTGGTGATGTGGCGATGTGACGGACTGGTCTGCTGTACCTTAATACTGGAGGCGTGGGTGTGTCTTGAGGTGGAAATAACTACCTCTCTGGGAGTAGCACGAGGGCTGCTTTTTTACTCGACGAACCTCTGGCAGTCTGCTGGTGTTGGGAGAGTAGGGAATGGCTGTTGACTTGGGATACCATAGTAGTACTATCCAGGAAAACTAGAGTTCAGTCTTGGTTTCTGCAGGGCACCACAGACTAGATCATGAATATGAAAAAGATTATAAGTAGATTTGAAACCCTGTCACCTTATTGATTCGAATCCAGGAGACAACAGCGACGGCTTACTCCTATCTCTACACTGGTCTCCACCTCGACCTATACCTGACAGCGCTTTGAAGGCCGGAAGACGACCACAAGAAACAAATTTAGCGCCAAACCAAGTGGTTGAATATCATACCATCAACACCGCACCGATTCATTACAAGACATCTAGAACTATCCCGAAACACCCAGGTCGGCAGTCGCCTCGCTTACGACATGTCGTCGGCATCGTGATGGTGGGTATTTTCATTATCCGACGCATGGAAAGCGTCCCCGAAGGCGGAGTTCTCCAGGTCGGGAAGATCAAGCCCATCATTCTGCTCGGTGTATGCGGCGAGTGCGTCGCCAGCGCTGTCCATATTGGTAAAATCGAAGTTGGCCCCGTCCAGACCATTGTCCCCCGTACTGCCTGCGTTGCCGGGGGTTAATCCTTGGAGGCCGCTGCCCGGGGTATCGACACCAGGTAAAGAGCTTTCGCCAGGTACAGTCTGGTCCTTCTTCTCTTCGTTGACCATCACCCAGTCTCCAGTCTCCCCGGCGGCACTCGCAGGTTGCTGGTCGCCCATATCCATTTCGATGTCCAAAGAGGTAGAGGGGCCCTGCTGAGGGACGTGCGCTGCCGGTTGAGGCTGCTGTGGGACTGCCCCACCCGCTCCAGGTGCGCCGGCCGGGTTAGGAACATGGGTTGGCCCAGTCTGGCCGGCATCCTGGATTGTTGACGAGACACCTGGGGCTGTTCCCGGCGAGCCCAGCTGATCCAAAAAGTGGCTGTCGGCATTTTCCATATCGATGTCCCCCTCAGGTTGAGACTCGGGCTTCTGCTCCGGTTCGATTTTCTCGAGCAGACCACCTTTCTGCACACAAGAGACTCGAGGCTCCGGTACAATCTGCCTCTGCCACACTTTCTCCACGTCCCGCACAATGTCGTCAACTTTGTACTTGGCCGGGTTCTCAATGTGAGCTGCCTGCGAGTCATCCTCTTCCGAGGGAAGCACCAGGCGGCCTTCCAATCTCCATGGCTCCGAGCCTGTCGCTGCAGGATCCGCTGCGGCTTCCCGGAGTCGGAGTTCTGCGTCCTTGAGGAGGGAGGTGCGGTTGAACTTCTCCATTCGACGTGCGTGGCGCTTTTTTAGCTTCTCAATCTCCGCCGTCATATCCGCGACCTTCTTAGCAACCCGATCAGCGAACTCCTCGGCCTTGGCGGGTTCCAACTTCTCAGCCTGCGAGGTGGCGGTGGCATCTTTTGTGTCTCCGTTGGTAGGTCCGACCGGTGCATCAAAGAAGCCGGCCGTCAACGATTCGAGTGCACCTTTCCGGCCTAGGCCCAGAGAGACGGGCGTGATCTGACTGATGGCATAAGGCGAAGCGAATATCTCCTCCATCCACTCATGATGTTGCGTGTAGCGCACTTTACTGATCTCGCGAGGTGTGAGGAGATCCATGGTGTCCCCAGTTGAGACATCTTCATCCTCCAGGGCAAAATCTGTGGTGGCAGCGTTCACCGCAGTGGAAGAAGCACGATGCCCGCGGGGGGCCTTGGCCGGCGGGGCAGCGGCGGGAGGGGGCACGCCTGGTCCGGATGGAGGGTAGAATGGCTGACGTCCGACGATAGCACTCGGGTAAGCTCCAGGCATCTGCGGGAAGCCCTGGGGCGCCATGTGTGGGGGGAAGTTGATGGCGGGCCAGTTGTTCCGATCGTGCAGCATGAAGTCCTTGCGGGCAAGCTGGCCTTGGCTCTGCAAGAAGCGCCGCTGAGCTAGCATGTTCTGCACCTGAGGTATGACGGGGATCCGGCTCGCAGGAATATGGTCTTGAGGAGGCGCTCTCGTGTAGTGGACGATCCACAAGGCGGGATCGGGGTTGGGCAGGTTGGGGTTGGGAACCTTCGGAGGCAGCAGACGATACCGGCGACGGCAATGCATCGCCATGGATTCGTTCGGAGGGTGATATCCGCTACGGTGTAGCCACATCTCGACTGTCTGTTGTGTTCTTGTGTTAGTGATCAATATGTCTGCGCGCAGGGCAGCTTTGGATGGGGGGTGATGTTGACGTACATAGCCACGAGCATCAAAGGTGAAGGCCTGTTCGACATCGGCCCAAACATATCCATCACTAGCGAAATTGGTTCCGAGTTGGTTGAGTGGCTGCCATGTAAGCATAACCGACCCATCTTGAGGCGCATCGAGGAAGGTCCAGTGCATTGGTTGCTGTTCGCGCACGACCTTGGCTGCGCCGAGCAGGTATTCGACAACAGTGTCTGTAGGCATCATATGCATCAATGGGTAGCGTTGCCGCGACACCAAATGCATGTGCGGCAGCTGGAGTAGTCAACATGATGTCAAGTTAGTGCTCAAGCTCCATACTGATTCACTTCATTCGAAGGATTAACGTACCAGCTGCGCGGGAACACGGGTCGCCGGGTCGTCCATGTTGACTGAGCAGCCTCAATGGCGGAGGATTCGCAAGCACTAAGTCTGTCGCAAAATGATGGGAGGGGGTATTGAACAGTTCGGACACAGAAGATTGAGAAGCGAGAAGGCCTGTCAGCGATCACGCAGCGACGTATACTGAGCGAAGACACCGAATCCTTAACGCGACGCGGAAATTTGAGGTTCCTTACCAATTCAGTTGACGCGGTACGGGAGTCCATAGAGTCCTCAAGCACACTCTGACGCCTGAATCCCCAGGCATTAAGTCGGTACCCGATCAGGACTAGTGTCGGGGTCGGAAGCGCTTTTACTCTTTCCAGCTGAAGATCGTCTCATTCCCCGCAATTTGGACGGCTTTGGATTGCCCCAGGCTCCGGACTGCTTGAACTCCTCCCCGTTCGACCTTGAAGAAGGTTTCCTGATCTACATCCTCGACTCGCTTACCCACCCCAATGACCCAACGACGTGGGAACTCGCACGGGCTGTCTGGCCTTTGCTATACCTTTTACGGGTACCTTGACAAACGAGTCTCTTTCGGACTCCTGGCCAAACGTGCATCACTGTATACTCGTTGATGCTGGGAGAGGCATGCATCAGAATGCGCAAGGGGGATGAAACAAATCAGACCGGGATATCCAGCCTCTTTCACCTCGGCTATCATCCAATGCTATCACTCAGTCTCTGACCAAGCCTTGCGCCCGCTCGGATGGTTTCATCTCAAGCTTTGGCCCGCCACCCATGAACCGATGGGTTTGTCTCCGCACACTCCCTAATCGGGTGTGCGAAAGCATGTCATCATATCCCCGAGGAGCAAGCCCCCCATGCGTCCATTCTGCCAGTTTCCTGCACATCCAGTATAGTGTATCTTTCACTCTCTCGGATGATTGGGTGTGAGCTCTGTCCCACGTATCACACACAGCTCTCTTAGAAAGTGGCCTCAATCGGCTCGGCATGACACTCCACTCATCGACTACACCCCCTCCCTCGTTTCCTCAAAGTTTCACGTCACCCCTCGCTAGCTCGACGTCTAGACTGTGTGGTCGGGGGAACCTCGCAGGACAGGCTGGTAGCCCTTTGTCCAATCGTCTAAATCCGTGCCCAACCATAAATAGCGTAAAGGTTTGGTGCGGACGCGTTCATAAAGCAGTGTGCTCCCCTCCCCACTCCTCAACAGAGAAGTCACCATTACATCTCTGTTGCTGTCATCAAACTTCTGTCACTCCGCATCGCGACACTTTACAGTCGACCATGGGGCTGTTCGGGAAGAAAGACACCCCTAGCAGTCCTGCTGAGGATGTCGACGCCATTGTCGAGGCTCCGAGTCACGATGCGGAGAAGCAGCAGCCCATGCACAAGGAAGAAACCCACACCGCGCTCCCGCAGATGCCTCAAACTGCAATTTCGATAGATCCTGCATTGGAAGCTCGAGTGCTGAGAAAGTTGGACCTCAGAGTTCCGACCTTGCTAGGATTTCTTTGTATGCTGCGTCCTGCCTAATTCATCTTCTGCACGATTTCACATGATTCCTCTTCAGATCAGTACACTCGATTCCTTATCTGACTTGAAGGCTTTGCACAGATCTTTTATCGCTGCTCGACAGGAGCAACATTGGGTAGGCTTGAACGCACAACATACATTAATCTCCATTGGGCTAATGAGCAAACAGGAATGCCAAAATTGCGGGAATGGAAGAGGATCTCAACCTCACGGGAAATCGATACTCTTGGCTCTTGACAATCTTCTACATCTCGTATACTCTTTTTGAGTTCCTGGCGCTGATGTGGAAGATCATGCCTCCGCACAGATGGGCAGCTATCACCGTCCTGAGTTGGTATGTTCAGATTTGACTTGTACCTCCCATGTCTTGAGTCGGAGCCTTATGCTGTCTAGGGGTATTGTGGCAACTTGTCAGGCGGCAGTGCAGAATTGGGGTGGGTTGATGGCCCTGCGGTTTCTGTTGGGCATGTCGGAAGCTGCCTTCGGCCCAGGAAGTCCATACCTGCTATCATTCTTTTATCGGCGCCATGAGTTGGGACTTCGATGTGGCATGTTTTTGTCGGCAGCCCCTCTGGCAAACACCTTTGCAGGCGCTCTCGCTTATGCTATCACCTCCGGCCATGCTAAGATAGCGAATTGGCGACTGTTGTTCCTGGTGGAAGGGAGCCCGTCACTCTTGGCTGCCATTCTGGCTTGGTTTTATCTACCAGATCACCCGTCGTCCGCACGTTTCCTAACGGAGGAAGAAAAAGAGGTTACACGGGCCAGGTCGCTTCGACGGAGTGGTGAGAGCGAGCGAGTCAATGGGATCGACTGGAAAGAATTGGGCCATACTTTGCTGGATGCGAAGGCGTGGATCTTGGCAGTATGTTCCCAGACCAGCTGCCTTCGCCTGGGGTGTACGCTGACAGCAATTTTTAGTTTATGTACTTCAGCTGCAACGTGAGCTTCTCATCCCTGCCCGTATTCTTGCCAACGATCCTGGAAGATATGGGGTTTACTTCCATCAACGCTCAGGGTCTGACGGCACCGCCCTTTTTTGCGTCCTTCCTCGTCACGATCGCTACGACATGGGTTGCCGATCGGATTCAGCAGCGGGGCCTGGTGATTGCTTGTGCCTCTCTAGTCGGCGCTGTTGGCTATGTATTACTTGCGGCTTGCGATTCCGTGGGGGTTCGCTATCTTGGCGTGTTCCTTGCCGCTATCGGGGTGTTCCCGTCTATCGCCAACATTCTTCCCTGGGCTCTGAGTAGGTCAACTGCCCTAGCAAGTGATGATCCACGCACTAATATGACTCCTGTAGACAACCAAGGCTCGGATAGCCGACGAGGCATGGGCATTGTCATTCTGAACGTCATCGGCCAGTGTGGTCCCTTTTTGGGGACCAATGTTTTCCCATCCAGCGATTCACCTCGCTACACTCGCGGGTTGTCTATTTGCGCCGCGTTCATGTTCTTCAACACGATTCTTGCACTGTGTTTGCGAGTTCTTCTGGCCTGGGAGAATCGCCGTCTGGATCAGCGGTATGGCGCAGTGGCGGAATGGACAGCTGGGGCCAAGGATGATACGGCTGTGGGGGAGGAGAATTATGGGGCGGGCTTCCGATATGTGTTGTAGGTTGTGGTGTTCCTTTAGCGTGCTTGGTTTATTGCTATTTGTTGCGGTAATGAGGCCATGATCTATGACGAAATAGAATTTTGCTGGGCTGGAATTTGGAAAGCAATTGCATGGTGTTGAGATTGTTGGTGAAACTGAATGTAGGGCACGTTTGCGGTGATCGCCGGAGGGGTAGCAATGTAAACTCCACCTCAGCGGGAATATATCTCGGCTACGTCAACCCAATCGTCAACACAACACCAGCATCTCGCCTCGCTTCTGTTACCTTCATTTTATACCCCCCTTTGAAGCCTTACTGCTGACAGCATAGTCGACCACACCATTATCTCTTGCCCTGCGCTAGCAGCCTAGCAACCAAGCTAGCCACACACACCAAAACCATGCGCCTAAGGTCTTAACAATTGCAGCACTTACCGTGTTGACCTCACTCACATTCGACATCATTCCACTCCGGTGCCCACTGAGCCCCAGAAACAGCTCCCATCATGACCGAACCAACAACCACGAACCCCAATTTCTATGGGATTGTGGATATGGGAAGGTGAGTCAGTCAGTCAGTCCTCTACACAGCCCATCAACGGCGTACACCCTCGAAACCCCTCAGACAAAAAGCACTAAACCTCCCGAAATCACAGCAACGGCATCCGCTTCTCCATCACCGACCTCTCCCCACCCACCGCCCGCCTCCTGCCCACCGTCTACCAATCCCGCGCCGCAATCTCCCTGTACGATGCCCAATTCTCCTCGCAAACAGAAACAAAATCGCAAACGAAGACGCGGGGCCCGATCCCCGAGACAACCATCGCTCAAGTCCTCGACCACCTGCGCCACTTCCAATCCACATGCAGCGACTTCGGCGTGAGGGCGACCAACATCCACGTGCTGGCGACGGAGGCGACGCGGACGGCGCCGAACGCGGCGGCGTTCTGTGGTGCGATCCGCGCGCACACCGGCTGGGAGGTGCGGTTGCTGACCAAGGAGGAGGAAGGGCGGATTGGCGCGCTGGGGGTTGCGAGCTCTTCGGCGAGGGTGGCGGGGATCGCGATGGATTTGGGCGGCGGGAGTACCCAGATTACGTGGGTCGTGGAGGGGGACGGTGGGGAAGTGCGGACGAGTCCTCGGGGCGCGTTCAGTTTTCCGTACGGCGCGGCGGCGTTGAGTCGGTTGCTTCAGGAGGCTGAGGCTGAGACTAAGTCGAGCGATGATGGAACGACGGCTTTGGAGGCGCTCAAGGCCGAGATGACCCGCCAGTTCCAGACGGCGTATCGTGAGCTCGAGGTGCCGGATCCCCTGCTGCTGCAGCTGCTGCAGACATCACCCAAGGGAGGAAGACAACAACAACAACAACAACAACGCAGTCTATATCTCTGCGGCGGCGGGTTCCGCGGCTGGGGGTACGTGCTCATGAAGACGTACTCCGACAAAACGGGCGAGGGCGAGGCGTACCCAATCCCCATCATCAACGGGTTCCGGGTCCCGCGGGCAGAGTTCCACGACACCGCCGCGGTGCTGCAGGAAGTCGCCGGCGCAGATACCACCACGACGAAAATCTACGGCGTCTCCCGGCGCCGCGCCGCGCAGATCCCCGCCGTCGCCTTCTTGGTGAACGTCATCATGGACGCGCTGCCCGCCGAGACCATCACGCACATCCAGTTCTGCCAGGGCGGCGTCCGCGAGGGCTTCCTGTACGACCGGCTCCCGCCGGCGGTGCGCGCCCAGGACCCCCTCCTCGCCGCGACGCAGCCGTATGCGCCGCCGTCGGCGGAGGTGCTGCACGATTTGTTGCGGGCGGCGCTGCCGGGCACGCCTTCACCGCGGGACACGGACTCGTTCAATGTCCCCCGGTCATTCTTGGCGACGAATCTGCTGGCGGCGCTGGCGAATTTGTTGTTTGCGCATGCGAAGGTACCCCGCGAGTCGCGGGCCGCCGCGGCGCTGCATAGCACGGCGACGGGGATCCTGGCGGCCACGAACTGTCTGTCGCATGTGGAGCGGGCGCTGATCGCGCTGGTGCTCTGTGAGCGTTGGGACGGGGAGCTCGCCCCGACGGATGAGGGGTACCAGCGGCAGCTGGTGCGGTGCGTGTCGCGCGAGGAGGCGTGGTGGTGTCGGTACCTGGGGCGGGTGGCAGCCTTGGTCGGGGATGTGTATCCTGCGGGCCGGGAGCCGGAGGGCCGGTGGAGGGTGCGATTCGAGACGGAGTGGAGCGCGGTCGAGAAGACAAAGAACCACGAGGTGCGCGACGTGCTGCACCTGACGGTGCGGCGTGGGGACGCTGCCACGACTTCCATGCTACAGGAGATACTGACGGACAGGGCGGACGGCTTGGAGAAGGTGGGCAAGAAGAAGAATTGGGTGCATGGGCGTGGGGTGAAGGTTCAGGTCACTATCGTGTAGTATGGAGACTGGACCTTGAAGCGACCTGTCCGAAGTAAGGGTTGAACAGCCAGCCAGCTACGAAGTTATATATGCCCCGATCCACGCCTCTCTACAGGTTGGCTTGAGGTGTACCTCAAGACTTCTCGCAGTCAGTGTGATAGACGAATCTCTCCAGAGTCTGCCAACTGGAGTATCACGATGCGTAGCTCATAAGGACCCTTGACCATAACCAGTGAAATCGAGCCTGATTTGCCACCGGACTCAGAAACCTGAGCCTTGAAATGCAGGAAAACAGGATGAAACCCCATCCATCTACTAGAGATCGTAGCACGCAGATTGCACCCGTCGATTATGCATGCATGCAAAGTGCCCAGCAAGAGCATAAAACCAGCAATATGAGAGACTTGAAAAAAGTGATGGTATTGCATCGCCAGATGTAAAAAAGTCCGATTACTCGTCCTTTCTTGCTATCAAGTAAGAAAAAAAAAGACACTTCCATTTCACTCGCTTTCCCCACGTCAAGAAATCCGTAATCCGCGAAATCCGTCGTAAGTTGGGGAGGAACCGTGCTTTATTTTTTCCTGATCGAAAAGGAGTGGTAGCCTTCCGATCGCAAAATAGCGCATCACCAAATCCTCAAGCCTCTTCCATTCACGCCACCTTCAAAACCCGGGGAATCGTCATTGCTCAAAAAGTCATCGAGTTTTTTTGTATCAAATTAATCGAAGAGGATTTTTGTTCGTGAAGATGCTTCCGTTTAAGCGGTGGGGTTGGCGTTCATCTGTTTTTGAAAGGGGTTGTGTAAGCCCTTCCGTTTGTGACCATAGCACACAGCATTTTCCATCGAAGATCCATCCGAAAACTGCTGTATCCCTCCCATTTCTTCCCTTGTATCCCAGGCTGATCTTGGTGGTTTCATACCTTGCGCTTGCCACCGGTGAGGGTGACGTTGACGAAGCGGCGGGTGTAGACGACACGCTTGTAGGCACGGCCCTTGGGCTGCTTGGCCTTCTCCTGCTTCTCGACCTTGGGAGTGGCGGCCTTGACCTTACCGGCACGAGCGAGCTGTAGTCGAAAAAAAGGGTCAGATATCTTTCATTCTTTTGATGCTGGTCATAGTAGTTTTCGAGTTTTCGATTGTCGTTGTGTGTCCGGTCGTCGATGGGGTGAAAGGGAGAAGAGGGGAGCGCTTACAGATCCGTGAACCTATTTTCATTTAGATGTTAGTTTTTCTGATTCTCATCCTGACAATATTTCTTCGAGGAGCATCTCTTTGATAACTTACCTTACCCATTTTGGCGTTATGTGATGATCTTCAAGAACAACGAAAAAGGGATCCTGTCGAGATTTGTCGTACGGGGCGGGAAGTGCGAGGGCGATGGGGGGGAATTTTGGCGGTTTCGTCGACGGGATTGCAAGTCACGCGTTTGTGCGGCGGTTCAACTTTGCCCCACCCCGGTTTCGGTTAGCCCCGTTACATAAGGGTGGATGACTCATGCGTATGCATAATATGGGTTATGCTGGGCTATGCTATGTCATTCTAGACTTTGAGTATTGCAGGTGGTATCCGAATATTGAAATAATGAGGCTACTCAAGAAGACGGTAGACTAAAGGATTTAAATGGATGGTTGGATATGATCTCAAACGATGGATCTTGATGAAGCTATTCTCTATGATACTCATAGATACTCATAGATACTGAGTGCAAGAGGGTTGGTTGGAGGAGGAAGAATGAAGCAAGCGGGAGGGAGAACTTGAAGGGTCCCGAGTCACCACCGCCGCCCTGCCCAATATGGAAGGCAGTTCCCTATCCTCGCACCTGCCAGCCGCCTCAGTATGGACTACTGAAGTCACAGTATGACTCTACCTTGGTCACTTTCTGAATCACTCTCTGGGGCTCATCCTTCGCTAACACCTCTCTCTTTCTTCATAAGACTGGCTCAACTATCCCCAGGCAAATCTCCGCATGCATCCTGCAAACCCCATGTAACAACTGTGATAGACTTGATTGTATAACGCCTGGCGCCTTGCAGCATACAGCGCACCATAAAAAAGAGATAGCCTCCCTTTTCCATCCTAAATCTCGCCCACTCCACCCAGTAGAGTTGCGAATGCGAAGGCTGGTGTGACCTCGACTGTAACCGAGTGCCATGTTTCGAGCTCGAGCGCCTCTTTCCATGTCCATGAGCATGTCTGTGTCGGCGCTCATGCCCGTGCCCATGCCCCAGCCCAGTCTCGCCAGCACCAGCACCGACTTTACCCCCACCTCGGGTCACAGTCACAATCCCAACAAACACCAAAACAAGCGCCGCGAGCAACTCGGGGAGAAACCCCAACACAACACGAACTGCCAAGCTCCCTGTCGTCGGGTTTAGGTCCGCGCGCTGGGTGAATTGCGCGACAAGCATGTATACCACTGATATCTCGACGAGGGGAAGGGCGAGGAGGCCGTGGCGGCCATGGCTGAAGACGAGGTAGAGGGTTGGAAGTGTTAGGGGGGCGTAGAGGGCGAGTTGCGAGACAAGGAGTCCGGTCGTCATTTTCAGTCATTCAGTGTAGTGCAGGCTGGGAGAGACAGGGGGAGGTTTGGGTACAAAGGTACAAGATGCTATATCTATATGCATTCTAGGCAACAAATCTCGGGCATATAGTTAAGACGCAGGGCCGTGATGCAGGCCCGGACGCTACTAAACGAGACCGAGAATCCTTGTCGATTAGAGCCAATCATCTGCGAGGCCTCATGCAAAATGATTCTGAAGGCTAGGTATGCCTCTGTGCTTGTGGAGACGTCGCCGGGGTAGTTGGGCGCGATGCCCCAGGAGCCTTCGGCGTTTTGCTGCGAGAGCAGCATTGGCGGTATTGGCTGCCTTCGTCGGGGTCGATTTGTTGGTAGAGCACATATGTACAGAATATGTGCTCGCAGGTCACATTAGACTCGAGCTCGCCGCACCAGTGGCAGTTGGAGAAGATCTCCCAGGCGGAATAGCGGCTTGTATTTGCTGTGGTGCACAAGATATAATCATTTCTACTGGCCAGGACATTAGGCGTTCCCAATGAGCAGGAAGGGTTGGCTGAAAAGCCATGACGTATTTGTGTGCAGCGTCGCCGATCCACCATATGTCGCGTAATGGTGCCGACAAGGCGAGAAAGTAGGCTAGAACCACCAAAGCACGAGGTCTCCTGTTCTCGAGTAGGTCCATGAATTCGATTATCACAAACAACGGGAAGACCATGATCCGGCGACAGGTGACTTGCGGATGTTCCTTTGCTTCCATGGCCTGCCAGGTGGCGTTGATATGCGCGACGGCCCCTCGATATGCTTCTAGCGCCGTATCGTTATCCTCGTCATCGAGCGCAGTCGGAAGCAGGAAGGAAAATGCCCCAGCATCAGAATTCGTCCGCAAGGGAATAGGAAAAGTATCAATAATACACCAGGTACTCGCGGGATGGGTATTATGCCTCGCAATCTCCAAGGCCGCGTCAAAGACAGCGACCGACCCGCGCACTAGACGCATCCATTCACTAAAGTTTTCGGAAGAAACAACAGTATGATTTTGTAGGGTAGCAAATACGTCGACCTGTAACAGGATGCTTGTAAAGCACACCGCATCCGCGGTCTGCGTAGTTATGCCGCCGATACAGAGTCGATGTTCGCGCAAAGCCTGCTCGAGGAAGTTGCAGTGGATGTCCAGCAAGCCAGCTTCGTTTGGATTGGCTTTGGACAGATGGAGGGCCGAGATTGCGAAGACGGCGTGCAGGAGCGGTTTATTACCGAATGCGAGTCGAGGCACGTCGATCGACCAACAGTCTTTGACACGCTTCAATTGGGCTCCGGGCATAGTAGCGCTGGCGACTAGGGTAAAGTGATGCAGCAAGCGCAACTCTATATTACTGGGATCCGATGAACTGGGCTGGAGTGGGCGAGATTGGATTTCCCTCGCGGGTCTGTCATAGACACAGGGGATCCCATGACGATGGCAGTTGCGACATACCGGTCGTGTTTCATCACACTATCACACTAAATCAGTCAGGACACATGTTGTGGCCAGTGGCCACTTGAAATGGATTCCACCTACCTTTACTCGTCGGGCGCGACATCGCTGACATCCGGTCCTGGACTTGCGGTAGGCGAGACGGGGGCCTTTGTGCTTTTTGCGATTAGACGAGTCCCTTTCGCTTTGACTGTGGCCTCGTGGCGAAGAGGACGGGTTACTTTCTGGGATGGCCGAGGAGGTCATCCTGCTTCGGTCCCACTTGTCATGGCGACAGGTTCCAAAGCGGCGATGACTTATCCCGGGGTCTCTCGGATTCAGTGAAGAGGAGCGAAGCCTTCCTCAGTTGGTCGACCTGTAACTATTTACCTCAATGATGTTAGGACGGGCCAGGGAGAAGGGACCTGAAGCGACAGATAAGTCGCCTAAATGTTGAGGATCCTCCTGAAGTAGGCAACCATAGACAGGTGTAGGCCGCGAGTTATCGAATGTAAAGAAGGTTCCTAGGAGATAGACGCGGGCCGCCCTCACTAAAGACTTCCCGGTCTTGTATAAAACCTTAGGTCACCTAATGATGAGTAGGTCTGAATAATTAATTAAGACTTGGGGCACGCTCCTCCCGACTGACGCCGCCCATTATACACAGAATCTAGAGAGACAATTACTAAAGTATATCAGTAACTATACCAGCCCTGGGGTGAACAGAGATCATGTGACTCTACTCTGACCCCCGCGGACTACAGTACTCCCTGCCTACTCCGTACAGTATAGCCCGGCCCAGCCTAGCCCAGCCTTGATAGCAGTAAAGTACTGTTGCGACCGGATAATTGCTCATTAAGGAAATCCTCTTTCGCTTCAAGGTTTCATCCAAAGTTCTCCAGGCTGCTTAGAAAAAGAAAAGCAGCACCAGGCTCAACCTGAAGCAGAAAAGAGAAGTTATTCAATTTCCACAGGAATCCAGTTTAGTACACATAGTTGCCTGTCATGACAATGTTAGAGCATATCATAGGCTAGTAGATCGAAAGTCATCATGATCGTCGTATTAATTGACTCACCCAGTCAGTCATATACTTTACTCCTTGGGTTCACCGGCCTACCGGTCTAAACATCTCCGGGCAGAATCGGAGGGACAGGAAGTTAAATGATCGTCGAGGAGGAGGAGGAAGAGCATGTCATGGTCATTACGTCTTCTGGCATGTCTATTTAAGCTGCCCCTCCTTCCCTCCTCTCAACCCCGCTTCTTTTCTTCTCTTCCTCTTCTCCCCAACACAATCACTCGACCCATCTTCATCCATCTTCATCAATCTTCATCCATCTTCGACAGATACTACCACTATCTCTAGAAGTCGTGATCCCTTTCATTCAATTGACTCTCCCCCAGTCATGGGAAGAGCTTCAACTAACCTATCTACAGGAACTCAATTCGTCCAATGTAAACACCACCTACCATGGCCCCTCGCGGGCCTTGACGGTGGAAGTCATGCAATGCCTTGAAGCTGGGCAACTCATTGATCAGGTACCTCAGGTAACTTTGGCCATGGACCGGTGTTCGTTCCTATCTGCCAGCGTATTCGCGCTGGTGGCTCTGGGTTCGTTCTGAGATTATACGGTTAAACTTGATCTGGATAATACCAGCGAAAGGATCATGCCTTCCCTCGTGCCCCCTTTATTGATGGAATAGCTAACAATCCTCAGTCACCACCGTGACTTGATCCCTCACTTGAACAACCCCCAAAGAACATCATGTCTCCCCCAGCTGCCTTGCTTGAGTCCCCCGTGGCCCCTACCGCCGGTCTCAAGGGAAAGGTCATTGTTCCTGAGATTGCTCCCATGATGGGAGGAGACTCGCAGACCAAGCTGCTCGACCACTTCGGCGGCAAGTGGGATGACTTCAAGTTCGAACCGATCCGTGAGAGTCAGGTGTCTCGCGCCATGACCCGACGTTACTTCCAGGATCTGGACAAGTATGCCGAGAGTGACATTGTCATTGTCGGCGCTGGTTCCTGTGGTCTGAGCACCGCGTACGTGCTGGCGAACGCGCGCCCTGATTTGAAGATTGCCATCATCGAGGCCAATGTTTCTCCTGGTTCGTACAACTGAAGAATCAGCAGCATTACAACATCGACTGATCCCGTACTATAGGTGGTGGTGCTTGGCTGGGTGGCCAGCTCTTCTCTGCGATGGTCATGCGTCGACCCGCGGAGGTCTTTTTGAATGCACTGGGCGTGCCTTACGAGGAAGACCCATCGAACCCCAGCTACGTCGTCGTGAAACATGCGTCCTTGTTCACTTCGACCTTGCTGTCCAAGGTCCTCGCCTTCCCCAACGTCAAGCTCTTCAACGCCACCAGCGTGGAGGACTTGGTGACTCGTCCCTCCCCCAACGGAGACCCCAAGGCGACCCGCATCGCGGGTGTGGTCACCAACTGGACGCTGGTGACTCTGCACCACGATGACCACTCCTGCATGGACCCCAACACCATCAACGCGCCTCTCGTGATCAGCACTACCGGACACGACGGCCCGTTCGGAGCCTTCTCGGCCAAGCGCCTGGTCTCGATGGCGACCGTTGACAAGCTGGGCGGCATGCGGGGTCTGGACATGAACTCCGCCGAGGATGCGATCGTCAAGAACACTCGTGAGGTCACCAAGGGCCTGATCATCGGCGGCATGGAGCTGTCGGAGATCGACGGCTTCAACCGCATGGGCCCGACCTTTGGTGCGATGGTGCTCAGCGGTGTCAAGGCGGCCGAGGAGGCCCTCAAGGTCTTTGATGAGCGCCAGCGTGAGTGTGCCGAGTAAGATGATCGTATTGTCGAGCTGCCACTCTACACATGAGATATTGAAGAAGCTGCCGGTGGTTTTCTTTCGGAATGTCCGGTGACTTCTGTTTCGTTATCAAGAAATGTCCACAAATTGAAACGAATGCGCTTTGATAGCCAAATATGAACACTCGTTTATGACTAGAAAGTTGAATCCGTAGTGTATCCATAAATGTAGAAAACATGCCAATAAATCTCAAGAGCCTTTTCTTCATCACCGACACCTTCCAGTGCCTCTGATACGGAGGTAAATTACATATGATTAAATTCTGTAACCATCAACATCATCGCTATACAATCAACCCAACCGACCGCCAAGACGCGGGAGAATCTGACGTCGGCGGGTGCGTATCGCGCGATATCCCCGATCTGGACCACTTCTTCTCCGCCGCAGGCAATTTACCCACTGCATCAACCTTCCCCAGCTCTCACTTTTTTTTCCCTCTCACACAGCTTACATCCCAAACAAAATCTCCAGAAATGCAACACCCCTAATACATCCCCAACATAACAAACCACAAACCACAAACCCCCGCCTTACCAACAAACAAACCTACACGCAACCGTCGCGCAAAACCAACATGAACAACGACCAATTCCGCCGCCTCGTCCTCGACACCCCGACCAGCAACAGCAACAACAACAACAAAAATGCGCGCACTACCACCAACCCGGGTGCAACACCCTCACCCTCCGCCGCCGCAGCAGCAGCGCTGGGCTCGCGCCTACGCTCGAGTATCCCTATGACGCCGTACGTATTCCCCGCAGTATTGTCCTAGAGGTTTTACGGCATGTTGGGCGAAATGCTAATTACTTGTTCCTGGCGGGGTAAACACAGCCGCGCAATCAACACCACGAAATCATCCCTGCACAACGAATTCGCGCGCCAACTCGCTGATCATCGCCGGGAGCAGATGGGCGGCGCCGGCGGTCCTCCGGCGAAACGGTTCAAGTCGTCGGCTGCGCCGAAGGGGACGAGGTTGCCGGAGGGGTATCGGGATCGGGCGGCTTTGTTGAGAGCGGTGGAGCAGGGTGATAAGGATGGGGGTGAGGATGGGGGTAAGGCTGGTGGAGAAGGGGCGGATGATGAGTTGGAGAAGCGTGTGAAGGCGTTGGAGGAGATGGTGAAGTTGGGGCAGATTGATCAGGGGACGTTTGAGGGGTTGATGAGGGAGATGGGTGTTGGCGGGGATTTGGGGAGTACGCATATGGTTAAGGGGTTGGATTGGGAGTTGCTGAAGAGGGTGAGGTCCGGGGAGGATGTTACGCGGACGAAGGGGGGGGATAGTCAAAGTGTTGAGGCTGAGAAGGTGGGGGATGTGGATGATGAGTTGGATCAGGTGCTTGGGGAGGAGGAAGCCGGGGTCGATGGGTTGCCTTCTGCTCCCAAGGAACAGAAGGTCAAGAAGAAGGGGATCATGGCGCCGCCTCCGCCTCCGTCGTCGAGACTGGAGCAGGTGGAGGCCGGGGTGCCGAGGTCGAGGGATGAGATTTTGAGGCAGTTGAAGGCTAGTCGTGCTGCTGCGGCGGCGGCGGCGGAGGCTGAAGCTGAAGCTGAGGTGGAGGAGCAGCGGCCGGTTGAGCCCGCCTTGGGGGATAGATTCAAGAGAATCGGGAGTGAGTCGAAGGTCGAGAAGAAGCGCTGGATCGAGCAGGATGAGACTGGTCGCCGGAAAGAAATCCTCCAGATTACGGATGCGCAGGGAAAGGTCAAGCGCAAGGTGCGATGGCTGGATAAGCCGGGTGAGGCGCCTGCGCCTGCTCCTGCCGCCAAACCGCTGGGCATGGAGGTTCCGACTGAGTTTGCGGCCAAGGCTGCGCCGACCCCGGCGGAGGAGGAAGATGACGATATCTTTGCTGGAGTGGGAGCGGACTACAACCCGTTGGCAGACTTGGGAGACGAGGACGATTCATCGTCGTCGGATGAAAGTGAAGACGGCGAGGTCGCTCAGAAGAAGTCCGTGGCTACAGACACTGCTCCAGCGGAGGCTACTGCGGATACGCAGAAGAAACCTGTCGAGGACACGGCAGGCCGGCCACGCAACTACTTCGCTACATCGACGACGGAAGAAGTCCCCGAAATCGATCGCTCCAATCCCCTGGCTAAGGATGCTACGCTACTGGCCGCTCTCAAACGGGCGGCGGCCTTGCGCCAATCCGAGGAGGCTGCTGGGGAGGGAGAGGAGGACGTCGACGCGGAAACAGCCTTGCGGCGCAAGAAGTTCCTGGAAGAGGCGCGACGGCGTGAGGCGTTGGATGCGATGGATTTGGACATGGGCTTTGGAGGCAGTCGGGTGGGCGATGAAGAGGACGACGAAGAGGTCGTGCTCGAGGGCGAGGGCCGGGGTGGGAAGAAGAGGAAACGAGGGCCCAAGAAGAAGAAGGGCGATAAGAACAGCGCGTCAGATGTGTTGCGTGTTATGGAAGGTCGGAAGCAGGGGCAGTGAATGTATGGTACAATGGTTGGTGAATCTCAGTGAATCTTGTGTTATGATACCAGTGAATGGAAATGAAATCCAGGCACCTTCCAGGAAATCTTTGGCTATAACCCCCCCTCATCTCTCAACTTCCTCTTCTACCTTCTCTCTCTCTCTCTCTCTCTCTCCTCCTTCTTCCTCTTTCCCCAGACTCTTCCTTCTTCTCATCTTCTCTCTTCCCATCTGCCTTCCCTCATTCTCATCTCCATCCATCGTCGTCATCCCCTCAGCCTGACTATCTTCCTATATACCAGACTGTCTATGTAAAGAAGCCGTCACGCTGAACACATCATGATCAGCTTCCTCACTTTCCATCAGATTCGGTCCCCCAGCGCAGAATTTCTCCTCTCCGTTCCTCCTCCCACCTTCTCCTCTCTCCATCTCTTCTCATCAACACCACCACCATCACTACACACACATTCGTCTGAGAAGACAACACCTTCAGACCTTCAGACCAGAATCAACAGGTAAGAACCCGAAGCTGTCTACCCCAAAACAGCCCAACTCCTACTCCTGTTTTCGCCCCCATCCCCCTTTCTTCCCGTCGAACCTCCTCTGGGGCCAGGACGGTGGCCTGCCGCGCTTCAGGAAAAGTATGATTTCCCTGTCTCTCTTTCCAAACATTCCTCCATCCTCTTCTCCAGAATCGCGCAGTTTGTCTTTCAGTTTGGGTCTGGGCTTTGCTATTACCGAGGGGCCCCTCGGTGCAGCATGAGCTACAGAAACACTGGAGCATCTTGGGAAACACCGGAATGAGGACAGGAAACACACTGGACTGATTGAGGCATATTTCAAATCTCGATCCTTAATCCTGAGGACGGCAAGGTGTACCCGAGCAAATGGTATTCTTCTCACTTTCCAAAGTGGTTGAAATGGACAAAACCCCGGACTTGATCAGAAGGAGTCATCACCCTTCTCGTATCTGTTGTGAAGTCGCCGTGGGCGAACGCCGATCCACAGCGGGAGTAGTAGGCTTTGATCAAGGACGGTCCCGTGGAAGGTTGGTGTGATCCAAGGGGATGCCGCTTGTTTTCTCCTCGAAGTTAAACAGCCGCTGTGGTTGCACTTTGGGCTATGGATCCGGAGGGTCTTACTCAGTGGCGTTTGTCGCTGAATGATGTGTTCTTATTTTTAGGTTCCATGCGATGCGATGCGATGATTATGACGACAACGACGAAGGTGAGGGTGGGACCATGGGGAGTATGGGGCATGAGAGATCAAGGATATAGAGCAAATAGATCGTGGTGTCGGTGTGCATATCAATATAGCATCAACTCCTGCTTTCATCCTGATTTGAATCTTCTTCGCAACGAATTATTCCTTTCAGTAAACTCTCTCTTTGTAAGCATATCATGCATGCGAAGAACTTGATCATCTCATCGATCTCAGCCTAATAAACATTAACTTATATACACAGACCACACATATTATACGGACAATCATACAAGCTCATCCCGTCCTCTTCGACGTCCCACCGGCGGCAGCCGCCTCGGCGATCTGCTTCGCGTTCCGAACCTCCCACTCAAACTCCTTCAGCGCGCGCAGCTCGCTGGACATAAACAAGCCCCCAATCAACCCATCCAAGATTCCCGCGCCAAAGTTCAACGTGCTCACGAACAGCAGGATGAAGGCCACATACGGAAGGTGGTCGCCTGTCCACCAAACGCCCACCATACAGCCGATCGACACAAACACGGAGGCGACAAAGTGTGCGAGTCGCCAGCGTCGCTGCGAGCGTTCCCGCTGAACATACTTGTTGATCATCTCAATGATCCGGTCATAGGTCTCTGGCTCGAGAGTGGTGTTGGGAGCGAGTGACGAGCCATCAGCAGCCGGAGCAGCGGCAGCAGCGCTACTCCCTTCAGCCTCCAGCTTAGCAGACTGCTCCTGCGCCTCCTCGCGCGTGATGACCGCCTCCACCGCGAAGTGATCGCTCAGCGAGCATCGCAGCGTCGGATGGCGCTCCATCATACTCAACTGGACCGACTTGACGGTCCATGCTGGGACTGACGGAGACCGCAACCCACCACCACTTCCATCTCCAACAAAGATATAATCGAGCCGCTTGCCGCGCGGACACGGGGCCTCGGGATCGACCTCGATCTCCTGGCCCTTCTTCAGCAACCGCTTCTGATCCTCCTTACTCCAGCGCCAAGTATTGAACCGTCCATCGCAGGTGGCCCCATTCTCTGTGATATTGAACCGAGCCGAGGGGACGGGCTTCCCGCGCGCCTGCTCGACGGGGTCGATGGCGGCGCCCAGGGAGGAATCCGGATTCAGGACCTGCCAGACGTCGCGGACGGGGCTGTGGGCCTGGATGAGACGGTGCGCGAAGGATGACGGGAGCATGTTGAAGTCGCCCAGGCCGATGACGAGGTGGCCGCGCTCGGCAGCGCCGCGCATCAGCTTGGCGATCTCCCACGCCTGCGCCGTCCGGTGGCAGATGTACGAGTCGTTGGGCTCGCGCTCGTACGGCGCGTGCAGGTGCGTGCAGAACACCTCGGCCACTTCCTGGGGGGCATTCCCAAACCGCACGCGCGCGCACGCCACCCCTTTCCCCACGTACCAGTCTCCGCGGAAGAAGGCCGTCGGCCGCCCGTTCAGCGGGTACCCCACCATGCTGCTCTCCTCGATCGGCCACCGCGACAGGATCGCCAGCCCCGCGCCCCAGATCCCGCCGTGGTAGAACTTGCCGTACGGCAGGATGTGTCGCGTCTGCTGCCGGATGCTCTCGTAGTCCGCCTGCGTCCAGCATTCTTGCAGCCCGACGATCTCGGGGGGTGGGGTGGCGATGGCCAGCCGTCGGCCGATCTCGGTGAGGCGCTCATGCCGCAGTTTGGCGATGTATTTGAGGCCCCAGCAGTTGAGGGTGAGGATGCGGATGGAGGTGGGGGAGGACGAGGGGGTATTAGTGGTTGCGGTGGTTGCGGTGGTTGCGGTGGAGGGAGGGGAGGGTTGTTGTTGTTGTGGTGGTGATGGTGGGTTTTCGGAGAGCGTATCGGCCATTATGGAGGGGTTTTAGATCAGTGCAGTTGTGTTTATGAGCTTACTGGATAAGTTGCATGGAGGGTTTGCGTGGAGTGTCCAGACAGAAAAGAGACAACAATGCAACAAGCAACTGAACAAGTATAGCCAGTATGGCCTCCGCAATGATTTCATCATTTTCCGGGCGAACTCACCGCCCGGCCTCGACCCGCCAGGCTTCGTGCCGACCGCCTTCCCAAAACCCGCGCGATCGTCACGAGGGATGGGCGAAATTCAAATGAAAGAAATCCGAGAATCGCGCAAAAGATTCCCCAGAAAAACAACATTGCTTCCTTTTTTTTTTCTCTCTCTTTTGGTCGTGTGCTCCCCTCTCATTTCCGTTTCTTTCCTTCCTTTCAATCATCTTTTTTGCCGTCTGGGTAAATCTCCACTCCAGAACTACCTATCCTTCCGACCCAAAAAAGCAAGATACCTACCTTCCCAAACTCATGACCCAGACCCAACCACAACCACAGCCATCAATCATCCCTTCTGACACCGTTAATCCAATCCCTGTGCCTTGAATAACCCAGTCAAACCAGTTGAACCAATCTCCATCGCATACCCTTCAATTCCCACAAGAGGGCATCCATCATCCATCACCCAGCATGGACGGACCATCCTCCACCCACCACCGCCCCAAGCGCCGTCGCCTGGACACGCCGGATAAACATGCCCAGCAACACTACCAAACCCCGCAACATCACCACAGCCAGCACAACCACCTCTCGCACAAGAAAAACACCAACACGCCACTCAGCGCCAGCACAAGGCACAACGGCTACGCCCACTCCCACAAAATCCAATCCCTGGTTCCACCACCACCACCACCAGCCGCAAGGCGAACCTCCAAAAATGATGACGACGACAACGACGACGACGTCTCCGTCTCCGATTCCTCGGACGAACTGGCCGCGGGCTCCCAGCACGACGAGGCCGAGGAACGCCGCCGCCGCGCCAGCTGGAGTATCCAGAAACAGAAAAACGTGTATACGCCGCAGAGGCCGTATCGTCCGCCGCTGAGGCGGAGTCTGAGTGGCTCCGAGAGTCCGGATGAGTTGACGATTGATGCGGAGGAGTATTGGCGGTCGACGAGGAAGCGCGCCTCGATTGGGGTTGTTGGGGGTGGGCAGGGGGCGCAGGGGAGGGGGAGTGGGAGTGGGAGGAGGTCGGTGGGGGGCGGAGCGGTGGGGGCGACTGCTGTGGCGGTTGCGGTTGATGTTCCTAAGGGGAGGGGGTCTTTGTCTGGGTTAAGGGGGAAGGTTAAGGTTGATGATGAGGTGGAGGTGGAGGTGGAGGGGTCTGAGGAGGAGGATGAGGAGGGGGAGGGGCAGGTAGAGGGGGAGGATGAAGATGGGGAAGAGGAGGAGGATGTGGATGTGGATGTGGAGGTTGATGAGGGTGAGGGTGAGGGTGAGGGTGTGGGTGAGGGTGAGGTGGGTGCTGATACCGATGCTGCTGCGCCGGATGGGGATGAAGTTGAGACTGAAAATGCGGAGGTGGAGGTGGCCGTGGAGGTTCAGGTCGAGGAGCGGAATCTGAAGAGTTCAGATGGCAAGGATCAGGATCAGGATCAGGCTCGGGCTCAGGATCAGGCTCGGGCTCAGGATCAGGCTCAGGCTCAGGCTCAGGCTCAGGAGGTCCAAGACGAAAAAGAAGATGTGGATGAAGGAGAGGATATGAAGGTGGACGAATTTGACCAAACTTCCAATGTCGCTGCGCTCCCCTCCACCGCCGCAGAAGCCGCCGCCGATGCTTTTCCGCTCGAAGAAGGACAAGATGCACCTGAAGACGACGAAAAAGAGTCTCGCGACAGCATCAATCACGACAACAATGATGACGAGAAGGCGCGTGAGGACGACGAACCCCCCCGCGACAACTACCCCGAAGACAATGAAGACGAGGAGATGGTCAACGCCGATGATGGCCTTGATGTCGACGAACCAGAACCCACCACGAATGGCGATCTCATGGAAGAGACCCCAGAATCGTACCCCGACCGGTCACCTACGCCCGTCTCCCAACCGCCGTCACCGCCGCCGAAACCAGATAAGTTGAAATATCGCGCGAAGTTCCTACTTCGCGGTCATCTGCGGGGAGTGTCCGCCGTGCGGTTTTCGCCAGATGCGTCGATGATCGCGAGTGGAGGTGAGAGCTGTCTTTTTTTCGTGAGATAATCCGTGGGGAGGTGAGACTAACTGCGTTGGTGATATAGGGGCGGACGGGGCTGTCAAAGTGTGGGACACCGTGACCGGGAAATTGATTCATTCGTTTGAGGGCCATTTGGCGGGTATCTCTACGATCTCGTGGAGCCCGGATGGCGCGACTATCGCATCTGGATCGGATGACAAGACGATCCGACTGTGGAACGTCCTGACGGTATGGAAGACACTATGACCCAGCACATCGGCTGTCATTGAGGCTAACATTTTTACGTGCTCTAGGGCAAGGCGCATCCGATCCCGTTTGTCGGTCACCACAACTACGTCTACCAGATCGCTTTCTCCCCGAAAGGCAACATGCTCGTCAGCGGATCCTACGATGAGGCGGTCTTCCTGTGGGACGTGCGGTCGGCGCAGGTGATGCGGTCGCTGCCGGCGCATTCGGACCCGGTGGGCGGCATCGACGTGGTCTGGGACGGGACGCTGATCGCCTCGTGCGCGACGGACGGGCTGATCCGCATCTGGGATACGGCGTCGGGCCAGTGTCTGCGCACGCTGGTGCACGAGGACAACCCGCCCGTCACGGCGGTCAAGTTCTCCCCGAACGGGAAGTACGTGTTGGCGTGGACGCTGGACGACTGCGTGCGACTGTGGGACTACGTGGCCGGCCGGTGCATCAAGACCTACCAGGGTCACAGCAACCGGAAGTACAGCCTGCAGGGCGGGTTTGGCACGTACGGCGGAGAGTCAGGGAACGGCAGCGGCAGCGGGATGCCGGTGTATGCCTTTGCGGTCAGCGGCAGCGAGGACGGTGCCGTGTTGTGCTGGGACGTGGTGAGCAAGCAGGTTCTGCAGCGCATTGAGGGCCACACGGGAGTGGTGTTGGGGGTGGATACGTGCTCGCTTGGAGGGGCGCGGCTGATGGTCAGCTGCGGGCTGGATGGGACCGTTCGCGTCTGGGAGGAGGCGAGCACCGCCGGCGATGGGCATGGCCCGACGACCAACGGCGCGCAGACGAATGGCACCGTGCTGAACGGCTACGGGGGTTCGATCTCCGACCCCAACACGCCGGCCGAACTGGCGGGCACTGAGGACGCAACTCCGATGGCAACGACCGCGACGGAGGCTGGGTTTGCCCAGACCAACGGACACCATAGCATGTCCGAGCCAGAAGATACCGAGATGGGTGGGGCCTGAATGATAAAAGCAATCGCATCAACAGCAGCAGCTTCTTTACTGTACAGCGGTGTAAACCAAGGGATGGACGGAATGGCGTTTTTAGGTTGAGGGTGGGTGGGTTGTATACTAGACATGAGGGCCGAACCACAATTACTCAACATCTACCGTGAGCAACTAGGGGAGACAAAACCCCTACCAGCGGAGGGATGGAGGATTGTCTGTTTGTATGTACTATTATTTCTAATGCTGGAAGGATATCTGGCCCGTCATCTTTGACAGATTTTGACAGAGGAAAGAGATGGAAGCAAGACCAGCCCTAAATAGCTAGCTAGTCCTGAAGGATGCGAAGCGTCGAAAGTCATCAAGCAACGATAAGAACATTGTATGGGGACTGGATTGAGAAGCTATACTATGTATAGCCCTCTCTGAAGTGCAGCATTTAACGATCGCCTCCCAGACAGACCAACCACCTCGGTGGTGGATTTGAAGATCGAACCAGAGACCGAGATGAGAAGAAACCAGCTCCGGGGAGGACGGTTAGTGAAATTATACTGTATATTCAATCCTTCAATAATCAATCTATTGAAATTGATTACTAGTAACCAACCAAACTCTTGACTCAGAATAGTCAATCAACACAGTCAGCACAATGGCAATATCAAAATCCCGAGGTAACCCAGTTTGCTTTTATTAAGATAATCCAAGAAGAAAAAGCACGTGTTATATATCTATCTGTACAGCTGTCTGTATGATTCTCCAGCCAGACCCCGACCCCGACCCGACCCGGGCCCTCTCCGCAGCCGTTTTCCAAACAAGACCGAGGTAGACACAGTACAATGTACTCGGAAGCAGTAGTAGTAGTATGTAAGTGGTAGATCAAAGTTCTCCCTCTCCTGTTCATCTACGAGTAGTAGGCCCTCTCTATTCGACTCCGAAAGAGATCAATTGAGTCATCTCAACCGGCTAAAATCACTCCTGCTTCACCCCCGCTGATGTACGAACAACACCCCCTCTCCACCTCTCGTACCCCTCTTCTCCTCCTGCGGGATTTTTCCTCTGTATCAAGGAAGTTGAAGTGATGTGGAGGGATGTACTGGACTGTGATACACTCCACTTGACCGGAAATATCGGGGAAATTCTCACTATAATATCCCGCACTGTACAGTACAGAGATGTGGAGAGTAACGTATAGATAGGCCGTGCAAGGCGATGAATCAATTGTAGAGGGGGGACGAACTCGGAAGAATTGAGGTACCCCACCTATCGTACCTACGGAGTAACCCAGTACATGTAGACCTAGGAGATGACAATCATCGATATCCATCGCGGGATTAGGGACTGGGAAGAGGGGTTGGTGATCTATAGCGGGCCTTGGTTTATTGATGTTACTGGTGTTGTACTGTACTTGCTTGCCTAAGTATCTACTGAGGCGTCATCTCCATATGCCTGGTAAGGGACCTTTGATGTAGTGTAGAAGAAGAAGTACTCCGTACCTAGGTATAATAGGAATTCGACCGGTCCAGCTGGAGTACTGTTCCGGTGTAGAATTTGCATGTATTACCTGAGAAGTTATGTAGGGACCGTAGGGTAGACCGAACCGCCCACCTGGGTGATAATCTCACCGGAATCTTGCTTTTACCCACACCCACACCTATGAATACTGTACAGTGCAGACACTGCAGACACTGCAGAGTTAGTTAAGTTCAGTCGGTGAAGGGAAGGAAAAAAAAAAAGAACATGAAAGAAGAACCATAACAGCCAACAGCCAAAACCCACACCCAATGAGTGCAACCCCATTGGCGCCCTCCGCTGGAACGTGAGACACCAAACAACAAGAGAGATGGGGGAAAAAAAACCTATCGGTAGGTCTAGGTCTGGACCCCCGATTGGGCCATGGGCGGATATTCTGGAATTGCCAGTTGGTCGGTTGCGCACTGCTGGGTTCAAGTTTTCTTTTGGATCCCCAGTAGTAACTGACTGTGTTGGTGCTAGGGATGATTGTGGTTTAGTGGAGTGGGGTGGGGAGAGGGGATGGATTGTTGACGGCGGAGACGAGGATTATCGCGTGTAAGTGGAGACTTTTTAGTGTCTTGGTGTCTTGGTGTCGAGGGAAAAGTCAATTGGGATTTGGAAAGTGAACGGTGCGAGTCGATACTACTCTTTGTCTGGTCTTGTCTTGTCTGGGTTTTCGGGTTGTGGGTTGGTGTGTACGTGGTTTGTGGACTGTGTATATTGCAGAGAATGTTCTCCGTATAGACAATCAAAGAGATACAAGAGTGGTGGGTAACTAAGCAGCGCAAACAACAAAGAGGGAAGGTTACATTAGCTGACCTACTGTAAACGGTCGTCGGAGGAAGAGAGACGGGATACATTCGCCACATTGACGATTATTGATTGATACCATTGCCGAACGAATTCCATTCCTGAAGCTGCAGTATGCCACGGCATCTCTTGTCACTGTCACTGTACACCATGAGTAAGTGACAGTCGGTGCTGCTTAGCCATCGACAACACGGAGTTATTCTACACTCCCCCGTAGACGATCTATTCCATATGGCCTGATTTGAGCCACGCAACCAGGCGTCGCCAGGGATTACTCCGCACACAAATGAGTGACTGTGAACGACACGGAGAGATCGAGGCAGCTCCAGGCAACCAAGTAGAGCTTCCCCTGGCCCCCATTTGGAGCTGTGTCTTGGCTATGTTATTGTTGGAATAAGCTCAGGCCCTTGCTCAGGGATACTTCGGGGTGAGCAGGATTCAGGAGTACTCCGGAGAGGTTGTTGTGGTGGTGAGAGACAAGAATAACCACGGAGGTGGTGGTGGTGGTGGTGGTGGTGATGGATCAGATTAGAAGCCTTGAAATGGGTGTGGTCACTGTGGTGGGCTAGGCTAGGGCTGCCCTGTGGAAATAGAGACCGACACACAGACACACAGACACACACACAGACACAGAGAGAAAGAAAGCCGGGCGGAAAGTGGAGCAGAGAACAGCAGAAGAGAGAGAGAAAGACTGCAACACAACAGCAGAGGCGTTCGTTGGAGCTCCGCCACTAAATTCACTAAATCTACTAGCGTGCAAGTAGCGCTACTGAACGCCCCATCCCACTCAACTTGGCCATGTCTGGGCTGGTGACTGAATGACAGTTCGTCCGTGGGTCGTTCTGTCGGTCAGTCATTGTTCTCGTAGGAACAAAAGTGATGCAAAGAGAACCGTGTTGTTGTTGTTGTTGTTGTTGTTGTTGTTGGGTATCTAGATTCCGTCAGCAGCTCCAGCTGTCAAACGGATAGAGAATCAGGGCACAAAACTCAACTGCAGCTCGCCTGCAGGAACCCCCCAATCTTCCCCCAACCAGAAAAGCAGAACCAGCAACATGGTCGACCGGCCAGTCAGATGAATCATGCACAGGCCAATCTTCCACCCGATGACGTTCCACGGATCGGCCCCCCGTTGGCCGCGGTGAAGGATGCAGGGGAGAAGAGGGTAAAGTTGTGGTTCAGGTACCCAGACCCGACAGACCCTCTGCATAGACCTATCAAAGACCCCAAAGGATGAATATCGCCAAGATGAAACACTTGTTCCTCGATGAGTCTCCGTAGGATTTTCCTCGCTTTTGTTCTTTTTCCTTTTCCTTTTCTGCTTTTTGTGTTTGGTACCTTTTTTTTTTTTCCTACTCGAGCGAGTATTTGTTATTGTTCTTTGACTGGATCCCCGTTCCTGGGCGTGTCGCCTGGTGGAAGGAGCGAAGAGTCCGCAAAGAAGCACAGCCCAGCCCAGCCCTAATTGTTAGTTTTCCCCTCTTCTTTCGTGGGTATATATCCTCGACTTTTTCCCTCGCTTCTTCTCTCTCTCTCCTTTTTTTCCCCCAGTATACTGATCACTCCTCAGTACCCAGTCATTCCTTTGTCATTTGACACCTGCTGAACAATTACCTGTGCCGTGCACGGTTCTGTTCATCCATTCCTTATCCTAAGCGCTACTTGAGTTACAAGTAGCTATACCACCCTTTCCTTAAGAACTCGAGAACCGGTCTTCTCAGTCTACATCCCCCCCCAAAAAAAGCAAGAAAAATGGTCTCCTTCACCAAAGCCCTCCTCATCGCCAGTAGCGTGGCCAGCACCGCCCTGGCGATGCCCTCGCACATCCACGCCAACCGACACACCGGCGCCAACCATCCGCACGTCACCCTCGGGCAGCGCAGCATCAACAGCACCTCCGGCAAACGCGGCGCGGCCTACAACAGCGCCACCACGGTGAGCACGCTGGCCAACAGCGGCACGGTGACCTGGGGCTACGACTGGAACATGTACAGCGACGGCGACCTGCCCTCGCACGTGGAGTACGTGCCCATGCTGTGGGGCAGCAAGATGTTCGGGACGTGGTTCACGGCCATCGAGACGGCCCTGAACAGCGGCAGCAAGTACATCTTGGGATTCAACGAGCCCGACAACAGCGGGCAGGCCGCCATGTCCTCGTCTGCGGCCGTGTCGGCCTACCAGGAGTACATCACCCCGTACAAGGGCAAAGCCAAACTGGTCACGCCCGCCGTCACCAACGGCGCCGGCGACGACACGGGCCTCTCGTGGGCCGAGAATTTCCTGTCGGGTTGCAGCGGCAGCTGTGGCGTGAGCGTGCTCGCCGTGCATTGGTACGGCGACTCGGCGGCCGACTTCAAGACCTTTGTGGGCGAAGCGGTGGCGCTGGCGGAGAAGTACGGCCTCGAGGAGACCTGGGTCACCGAGTTCGCCCTCAACAGCGCCATCAGTGCCGGCCAGGGCACCCAAGAGGCCGCCTCGTTCCTCGAGGAGGTCGTCCCCTGGCTCGATGGCCAGAGTGGCGTCGGCCGCTATGCGTATTTCATGTGCGCTGAGGGGTATCTGTTGAACGGAGACGGGCTGAGTGCCTCCGGCCAGGCGTATATTGCTTAAGCATCGCCTCGCCTCGCCTCTTGACTTTTGACTCTATGACTTGTGATTTGGTGGAGAATGATGTGGGGAGCGGTTTGGCTTTGCCATTACCTCCAGCGTTTACCATTCCCATTACCATTTGCCTCAAGGAAAATACCTCCCCGGTGTGGTGATTTGTTTATCATGATGATTATCGGCTTTACAGTGTTTAACCCTTTTGATACCAGTTTGTTTTTTGTTTTGTTTTTTTTTTTTTTTGTTTTTTTTGTTGCGTTGCACTCACAGAGTGACAATTTGTTTCATCCTGATTCCCATTGTTCATACAGTTCCATGAATCTGAAACAGAAAAAAAAAGAGTCCATACAAAGACCATTGTGTTGTTCTAACATAGTACAATCCTTGCAAATTGTACTCCAACAATCCTAAAAATCCAACAACAAAACAATCCAAATCCGAAACACCTTGTAAAAAAGCAGACCAGACCCAACCTAACCTCCTGCCCAGAAAACAAGTGACTCGATTGTTATTATTGTTTGTGGAGTCGCCCCCAATCCATGGATCTAAGAAAGCCCCCAACCAACCACATGTATTGCAACCCAGGAGCCCCGACTTCCATCGCCCGAACCAAGGATGCAATGCTGTCTGGACTTTGGGCTGTGGGGAAAGTCGCCATAAATTGATTGGGCGGTCCACATTATCAGCATTGGGACTCTTATTATGGGATGTCAATCACTTTTTCATTGCATTGCGTTGCATTATTGCAGACAAAAAGTGCAATCTTGTTACTAAACCGGTTGGAGGTCATAATTATGGGTCCTGGGCTTGGGGCTGGGGACTGATTCTCTCTCTCGGGGTTTGACCGTATACCCGGAACTGGATAATGAAACCCTCCGTAGACTGCTTTCAATGCGACTCCGACTGAGTACGGCGTACAGCACTGACAACAGCACCGCACATCGCCCACAGCAACCAAACCTCATCAATCCAGTAGTTACAGTATATACTCAGTAAAATGCTATTTGTATTATTTCCCATCAGCAACCCTGCACCACCAACCAGCTCACAAACTTTTCCCCCAAGTAACAACAAAACACCACACATCTCCAGGAAAAAGTTCCATGCACTGGGGACGGACGACACAGCAGCTTGACAGCTTAGTCCATCACCATCACCGTCGCTGACACATCCCACGAATAAAAACACCATAAGTCACATAAGTCACATAAGTCACACTTTATCCGCACCGCACCATCACTTCCCTAAATACATCATATCATCCCCTCGATACAATCTTCACATCGTTTCCCATCCCCCATTGTTGATATCCGCTTCCAGCTTGCGGCTGATCATCGTTGGAATCCCATGCGAGAGCCACACGTCGCGGACCAGTCGATCGTAACGTTTCTGATTCAGAATCAACTGACGGTTACGCCGGAGGCCCGGGTCCACTTCGCCGTGGCGGTCCAGGTACGGCGCATTGTGCCAGGAACCGCTGCGGTTGTGTAGGTAGACCACCATGCACTTGCGGATGTTGAGGAAGAGACCGATGTATTTCCCACATCTGATAAACACCCAGTTAGTTTTAAATAACCAAGAAGGAGGACGCAAGGAGGAACTCACTTGTAAACGTGTTGGTTGCATCCGCCCAAGTTCTGGCTCTTGTCCATGCAACACACGGCCTGCGAGCAGAAGATGTCACCACAGAACAGGCAGATGCAGGGATCGGTCAGCTCCTTCTTCGAGTTCGGGCAGCGCCGTCGGTTGGCCTCGTCGATCAAGCTGTCGTAGTACTTGGGCAGCCCGACCAACTCGAAGATCCCCGGGTGAGGGAGGCTCGGCCACAACGTGTGGTAGCCGAACGTCAGCCCGGGCCGCGACACATTCCAGTGGTGGATCCAGCCCGAGATGACCGAGTCGAACACGCTGCCGCGATTGCGCGAAGCGTTGACAGATCCGAAGATCTCGTCGAGAGACGGCAGATGTAAGAGCTTGGTCAAGCGGTCAAGCTCTGGAGCGTCAACGTCGTTGAATCCCGTGCTGGGGAACTCGACCCCGTGCTGAACGTGAAGAAGAATGACCACCTTGCGAAGGAAGGTCAATGCGTAGCTGGAAATGAGCCGGCGCAGGGTTAACGCCACCTGCCGCGGCACGGCGCTTCCGTCCGCCACGTAGTTACCCTCGGTCGGGAACGACGTGATCTCCTCCTGACCGATATTGGTTCTCAGCTCGGTGACAATGGAGTTGAAGAAGTGGCGACTCAAGTCGGCTCGAGGGTCCGTCTCATCAAGCGCCGGCATGTAGTTGGCATCGCCATGCTGAACCACTTCTTCCTGCAGCCCCGAAGGCCAGAGAATGTAGGTGATGGCGACCTTGACGATTTCGGCCACATAACACATTTGGATCAAATGACGCATATCAATGGGAACGGTCGGCAGAAGCGAAACCGAGCACTCGGCCAAAAACACAAACGTATCCTTGCCCAGGAGCGGTTCAATCTCGCGCCTCTCCCTCAATAGAGGTGTGCCACTGAGGTAGGGGTGACCAATGAACAGTTGACAGATCTTCTGCCGGTGCGTTTCGTGCACCTCGTCCGCACTGAGATTATGCGGGCTATCGCCATGCTGTAGTGATCCGACCGCCGCGTACGAGAAGGCCGTCTCGGCGAGGATGCGCAGATGCGTCAGTGTCAGCTGAGGGATCTTGTCCAGCAGGGTCGAGCCCGGTTCCGAAGCGACACCCCGCTGCGCTATCTCCACGGCCGCAATGCTGTAGCCAAAGCTCTGGAACAGCGAGTCGGTATGCACCAGGTCACTGCTGTCCAGTGTACCAGGAACATGGTTGAACGTGGATGGGATGTGGTTGACCCGCAAAGTCTGCTTCAGCCTCTGATAGATCTGCAACAATTCGGAAAGCGGGTTCTCGATCGGATTGAAGGTCGCCTGGAGCGGGCTGGTGGCAGAAGGATCCTCCGCAGGGAAAAGCCCAGGCATGGGTATTCTGACCGTTGGCATGGAAAGAGGAGTCGACGGGATTGAGGGAGGGGATGGGAGATTGCCCAACTTCGAAGCGAGCGGTGGGGCCAACGTCTTGGACAGATAGTTCACGAAGAGCTCCTGGTACGCTAGAGCCTGCGGGTTGCTGTTGCTCTCCGCAAGTAATGCGTGATTGCGGGGTTGCGAGAGAACGGACTTGAGCTCAACATTAATGAACTCGTCAAACGAGACAGCGGTACCCAAAGCTCCCGGATACGACTCTTCCTTACCCTTCCAGACAATGGGAAGGAAAGCATTTCCGAGAGCCTTGCAGAGAGGGCAGACGAACTCCTTGCGCGCTAGCGACTCCGGGTGGGCTCGAGCGACTTGTTGATGATGACGACGACCAGTAGCAGTGAGGTAGACCTCGAAGCAGTGGTAATGCATAATGTGGCCACAGCCGGTCGTCACCGGCCCCGGGTTCGTGTTATGGGCCTTGAAGCCTTTGCTTAATCCAACCTTCTCGCTGACGACTTCGCCACCCGTCGAGTCCAGTCGGCGGACGGTCGTGCGGTTTTCACCAGCGACTCCGAAAGGACGAAGATGGTCGGCCGACTTGTCCAGGCTCGCTGGTGTCCTGATTGCCTCCCGCACCCAGTCCGCATCCGACACATCAGTACAACGGAGGATGGTGCTATCCTGGATGAGGGCAAATGTGCCGTAGAGTCGCGAGTCATTGGTCTCCTCCTGACAAAGGATGCACGTGCCACTAGGATACTTCCACAGCTTCGTCTCGGGCGCAGTCTCTGGTTCCGACTCGAGATCACTGAAGTCTTCCTCGCCCCAGTCAAATTCACCTTGGCTGTTGAGGAAGTTCTGCTGTTGCTGCTGGAACTGGGCCATGACCCGGGCCTGCCTTTCTAGAGCCTGCTTCTTCTTGGTCTCCTTCTCAACGTCATTGTCGATAGCAGGAGTGCTGGTGTCAACCCTGTCAAAGGGGAAGTTCAGCGAAGCGGTGGCTGTGGCATAGGCCTCGGGACGCTTCTGCCAGAATTGCTTGAGTATATGCCGGATCTTGGCTCCGCATGATTGGAAATCGGATATCACGGAAATCTTCTCAAGGAGACCCACGATAGTCACTGGACCAGCCTGCGTCGAGTGTCGAACCTTGTTCAATGCGTGAGAAATGAAGGATGCCGGCGAGCCGTCGGACATCTCATCCTCGTCGCTCTTATCATCCAGCGAGGCGGCGAGAATCAGATGCAGGACCACATGAAGGAAAGTCTCAATCCGAGTAGGTTTGATATGCGGAGTACTCGCCTGAAACGACACTACATAATCCAGGCAGTGGTGCACAAGCTGAGCGAAGACCATGGTCCGAGTGAAGCGATGAAGCTCGGAGAAAGCTCCGGTGGTGATGGGGCGTAATTTGGGCTCAAACACCACGTCATCCGCATTCTTGCCAGTTTTCTTGGCCACCCAGTCTCTGTAAATGGTCTCCGCTTCATCCCGTTGATTCTTAGTGTAATGAGCGCTGTACGGATCAATAAGGTCAAGATACTCCGGCTTCAACTCGAAGGTACCGGTATCATTCAACCCCTCTGGTGCCCGAAATTTGGCAACCTCCTCAAGCACATCCTGGAACATATCCGAGTCAAGGGGCTTGTCGCTGAGCCGTGTAGACAGGTCAGAGAACGACAGCGGCTTGAAGCAAAGGACATGCGCGATATCACGGATGATGCTCTCCCGAGTTGCGCTCTCGCTGTCGTCGATGGCGGTGAGCGAGGTACGGTCCGTCAGGAGGATAATCAACAGGTGGACGAACTCCTCGGCCACGTCGACGATCTGGTTGTCCTCGTAGACGCTCCGGGGGCTGTAATCCCGGTTCATCCAGTCCACCATGCCGAAACGATCCGCGATGGACGCAAGGACCCGACTAGGATCGCAGGTGACCAGGGCAGTCTGAAGCAAGAAGATGTCGCGATAATACGCAAAATCACGGGATGAGACTCCCCGGTACTGTGACATCTGATGCCGAAGGCTGAGACCGTTGCGAACCCACATGCCAGCCTTCATCTGTGCCAGCCAGGCGCAAACTCTGACGGGATAATCGAACATTGCCAGGAGCAAATCTTCGGAGTTCAGCTGTGAGTCGTGGATGTATTGGTCATTTGCGGCCTGCGCAGCGTCCATGAGCACATTGCGCATGACGGCGCCGCTTACATTACGACCGCATTCCAGCAACCAGGACAGCGTGTAATGGAGGGCATGGTGGAAACTCATCCAGCCACGTTCGACGACGAAGTCCACCACCCGGTATCGTGGAACATGTTCTTGGTTGACCTCGAAATCGAAGGGAGGCAGCGTTTTGAAAGACACGTAATCCTTGATCTCGGCTTGGCTGAAACGCTTAAGGTCCAATCCGTATGAGTGAGCCACAGCGGAGATGGTGGCTGATCGGATGGCTCGCAGCAGCTTTGCACCTCCATCGATCTCGGGGTTACGGAAGGCCTCGCAAAATTGGCGACACAGGCGGTTGATCTCTCGCATGAGGACGGACGCGCTGATCCAAGCGTCGGTCTCGTACTCAACATGCTCCCCTACAGCACGCACATTGGGGCATATACCTTGCGAGAGCTTGACAAGATCCAGGAACTGAGACAGGTACTGTTCTTCCGCGCGCACGCGATTCTGGACGTATTCGGATTGCAGCAGGTACCGTAGATCCAAGAAGAAATGATACAGACGCCTGTTGGTCACAGACCCGGCGTCAAATGCCAGAGTTGCGTTGGGATTGACTTCATGAGGTTCGCCAACCTGCCTTGTCGTAAGAAACGTGTACAGGATGGCCATGACCTTGGTCAAAAAGTTCCCCCGTAGGAGGATTTCCTCTGTAATAGACGGAGTGGTCAGAAGCTGCAAGGAAAGGTTGACAATGGAGTGATCAGGCTCTCTGTCTGCGATCAGGTACAACTGCGCGAGCGCCGTGTAGAGGGCTGACAGGCGCAGACCCATGATCCGCTTGAATTGAGGAACATTGACAACGGTGCCGATATAGAGATCGCGGAGCTCGGTACGAGTCTTTTTCCAGAGTCGGAGATCATAGAGAATCATCCAGTCGAGACGAGTGCGCTGCGACAAGTCCTCGTAAACCGGCACACCCTGCCCTTCTGCCGCAGCATGAGATCGATACTGCCAATGAATAGGCGTTTTCGCCGGCGATGGTCGAACCACCCCTGACGGTGTCTTGGGGATAGGAACAAGGGAAGTCGGCGGTCGCTCGTGCTGTTCATTGGGGGCCTGCTCGTTGACGGCGGGTTGCGAATCCTCCTGGTTTGGCCCGTTCTGCACCCCTTCTTGCGCCTCTTGCCTTCGCAGCTCCTGTGACTGCTGCTCTCCCTGTTCACCTTGCTGTTGCTGCTGCTGGCGGGCGCGCTCTTGTTCCCGCTGTTGTTCCCGCTGGGCGAGTCCTAGGATGGTCTGAGCGATATCTAGAGCGTCATCCGCGTCGCCCATAACCATATCATTATCGTCGTCCACCTCATCCCGGAGTCGGTTCATTTCGAGTTCCATGTCATCATCATCTTCCTCTTCGTTGGTCTCGCCCGCTGCACGCAGGTACTCTTCGAATTCTTCCGCCTCCTCCTCGTCATTGACACCTTCCTGCTCATTGCCCGAATTGACATCCTCATCATCGTCATCGTCGTCGCCAGCTGCGGCTAGTACAACATTGACTTGGGGGGATATCGTGAGCATGACCGTGCGCCATGGAGACGCCTCGTCCTGTTGGTGGTCATCAATGCCTTTCAACCCGATGTCCGCATTGTAGGCACCGCTACCACGCCTCCATGGCGTAAGCAGTTCTTCGCAGATGATGTGGCGCAGGATCTCGTTATCATCTCCAACGCTACATCCCGAAATATCCAGCAGCCACTCGACGATGGTCGCGCACATCTGCTCGCGGAAGGTATCGCGGGCGGATCGGATAGTGACGGTGACCCTAATGTGCTCGATGATCTTCGACACGTCCAGCAGTCGCGGCAGGTCCCGGGAATACTTGACGACACTGCGTCCGATATCGTTGGTCTCGTGGGCACGCTCGAACCCGAAGCGATTCGTCTCCCGACAAGCTCGCGTGACCTGCGTGGCGACGTCCTTTATGGTGTGCTTCTCATCGTTCCACAGGGCGAGGGCGTACTCGGGCTCCTCCTCCGCTTCGTCACCGGGCCCGTACCAGCCCGGACGCAGCCGGGACGCTTCCTCGTCCTTCCTGATCCCTTCCTCAGTCTTGGGCAGTCGCAGCTGTTCGGGCGAGCACGAGATGACGTCGCAGAAATAATCTAGGGCGCGCGAGATGGTGAGTCGGATGGCCTTCACCCAATCCGGCGGCAGTTGTGACCGGGCCCTCTGCTTCCCCTTCTTCTTGTCCTCGCTATCGGTGTGGATCGCACAGAACAACGGCAGGCGCCAGGCCTCCTCGTCTCCACAGTCACAGCAGCCGCAGTTCCCCGACGATAGCGAGATCTGGTACTGGTGGCCGGTGTGATCGGAGGCGTCGAAGCACCGGCTGCACAGCACGCAGGTGTCGTCCATGGCGCAGGTGATGCAGCGGTAGGTGGCCTCGCCCGCCCTGAAGATATGGCCGCAGCGCTTGCCCCGCGCCGCCTCGGTATACTCCGCACCTTCCTCGGCGCCCTGGGCCTCTGCCAGCTTCCAAGGCCCGGGCGGCAACCCGTTGGGAAACAACTGTCGAAAGTATTCGTCATTCTGGCCGGTCAGCGAGCGGAAGAGCACCTCGAGAAGCTCTTTCTCGGCTTGGGGTCCATAGCGGTTGTTGTGTTCGGCGGGAAGCCGCAGGAGGCGTTCGCTGAGAAACTTCTCACATTCCGTGAGCATCATTTATCGCTGTTGCACGGCGAGCGCGACACCCATCCGGCTCTCGGTATAAGGAGTAGAAAAGGGTTACGGAACGTGACTGGGGGGTCCGAGAGTTGTTGAGACAAGAGCTCGAAGGTGGGCCGTATTTTTCCCCCTCGGTTTCGTTTGGTGGCGGGCTTATAAATCTTCGATTGCGGCCTGCGAGCTCAACTTAGTCGGGCGCCGATAAAAGGTCCGTCAATGATGAAAGTGACTGGATAAGAAAAGAAGAACGGGAAAAGGAACAGAAAAGTGATAACCAACCTTTGAAAGATGGGGGGGGAGGGTGGGACAGTTTAAGCTTTTCAGACAGGGTCGCTTGGTTATGGTTGAGAGAGTAAGTGGTTAATGAGGGAATGAGTTGGTAGTAGGAATACTCGTGGTGGTGAAGTAGCAAGTTCGATGTCACAGTTTGGTGGGGAAGAGCTGTTGGCTCCGCTTGGATCAATCCAGAAACTACAGAATTTAATTCAACGCCTGCTAGAATATGATCTTCCAGTCCAGATTCGGAACAGGCAAAGAATACAACCTGACCAAAACAACAAAAGGAAATGAAAAGGGCTATTTTCGTTAGAATGTATTGTGTTCGGAAAAGAAGGAGGGGGAAAAGCATGAGATCTCTACTATGAATCTACAGGACAAATGCGGCTTGGCGCGACTTGACCGCAGTCTCCCTTTCAATGTCAATCTGATACCGGGCAGCGTCGGAGTAAGGGAAATGCACGCAATAGTACAGCTCATTCTTCCAGATCAAAAAATAAAGGACTATCTCGTACAAGAAACACCGTGGAGGATCCCGATTCCCCTCTTTCCTCCGATCTCGGTAAAATAACATGGGAATGGATATCTCTACCCTCCAGCACTTGGTCTATCCCACCACCACTACCACCACCACCATCAGGTAAATGCGGCACAAAACACTCGATAGGATCGTCATAATTTACTCGTCATCCTCGTCGTCGGCCTGGTTGATGTAGCGGTGCTTGATATCCTTCCATTGACGCTGTGGGCGCGAATCGGAGAGTAACCCCGTCAGTTAAGAACCTCATATCCGGAAGGGGTCTGCAGGGAAGAACATACGCCGCGGTTGAAAGAGTCCCAGACGCGGTTGGAAGCGGTGTCGAAGGCCCTGTTCCGAAGAAGTCGTGATTAGCTTGCTGCGACGGTTGTTTTCCCATCTGGAGTGGGAGGACGGGAGAGAGAGGCTAGACGCACAGCTCGAAAGCGAAGGCACTGGTGAAGATGGCAGTCAAGTAGACAGCGTTGCGCTGGAACAGACTCCTATGGCAACCATTGTGGTTAGCAGGGTCTCAATTGAGGGCCTGAGAGGGAAGGAGACATACCGGTAGAGAGTGGTAGTGAACTGGATCCGGAGACACCCTGCAGTTAGCCCAGGGAACCACGGGCACCAGGAGCAGCGGTCCTGGCGATCAAGTTGCGGGAGACACTTACAGCGCCGGCCATTGTGCTGGATCGTAGATGGAAACGGAGGTGGAAGTGGGAGAGGAGCGAAAACGTGGGGAAGTAGCGTAACCAGGAGGGAATGAGGTTGAAGAATCGCCGTTCGGATAAGTTCAGACGAAAAGCAGCAGCGGGAAACACCGGATCCCTGATTGGCCAGTGCCCAGAGCCTCTCCCGCCCGCCCGTCACGGATGAATTCATCCATGTTCATCAGGCTCACTCCACTTCCACCTCTTTTTCATCTAAACTAATTGACAACAATTCGGGCATCGTCTCAATATCCCGCCCTCCGCCCTCAAATTATCGAAGGACTAGGGACATCACCCGTTCCTATCTAGCACGCCTGCAGACAGACCCCTCTCTCTTTCCATCCATCACCTTCATTGGTCCGAGGGTCTGAGGGTCTGAGAATCTTCGTTACGCCGCTCCCACCCTCAGCCATCCACCATCTACCCCCCAAAAATGGCAACCAACAAGACCGGAGGCGTCACCTCATCCGGCATCGCCACCAACGAAACCACCGGAGAGCGCTACATCCCCTCCTCCACCCGCGCGGACGGGTCCAAGCGTCGCGAGATCCGCGTCCGACCGGGCTACCGTCCCCCCGAGGATGTCGAACTCTACAAGAACCGCGCGGCCGAAGCCTGGAAGAACCGCGGCAAGACCGGCGGCGGCGGTGTGCCGGGCGCCGAAGGCCTCAAGCCCGTCGAGGACTCCGACGCCAACAAATCGGGCACCGCAGCCAGCAACAAGAACGCCAAACGTCGCGAGGCGCGGAAGAAGGCCAAGGCGACCGGTCAGGATTCACCGGGCGCAGCCAAGGACGTGACGCAGATTGAAAACTGGCGCGTCGCTGCGGGTGGTGCTGCTGCTGCTGCTGCACCCAACGCTGGCGCGAAGAAAGAAGCGGAAGGCAAGCAGCCCACCGAGGCGGAGCAGGCGCTGGATCCCGAAGCGGAGAATGAGAAGAAGGCCCGCAACTTGAAGAAGAAATTGAGGCAGGCCCGCGATCTGCGCGACAAGAAGAACCAAGGCGAGGCTCTGCTGCCCGAACAGCTTGAGAAGGTCATCAAGATCCAGGAACTCGTTCGGCAGCTCGATGCGCTGGGGTTTGATGCCAATGGGGATAAGAAAGACGCTTCTGCAGAAGAGAAGGGCGCGGAAAGTGAGAAGGTCTGAAGGGCCGCTCCATGGCGTTTGATGTTTACCAGACTCATAAGACCTCGAATCGTTGAGCTACTTGTCACCAAGTACCACGATCGCAGTCCTTACCTCCGAATGAGGGACCCATAAAAGAGTTGTCTATGGCTGCCTTCCACAGAATGCCGATGTGGCGTCACCCTGCAGCTTAACCAAACTCAAGCTGGGCCGATGTCCACTCTCCCGACTCCTCGCTTGAGAGTGTGAGGATCATACCATCACGGAATTTCCTCAGGGCTCGTCGGCTTGCATGAACAATCTCCCACGGCTTTTCGAGACAGACATCGCTCTCGCGGCTGATCACCCCTAATGTCGGTCCGCGGGGGGAGCTGCACAATGTATTATTACAAAGCATATCTAGTCCCTACCGTCCCTGTTCACATCTTATTTCCAAATTGCACTTGCTGGTCTGTTTACCGGAAGTCTATATACCTCCACATGACCTATGTGGATATCTGTCACTATCAAATCAGCCTTGTTCCTCAGTAAGCGGTCACGCTCCGACATAAGTAGCATGCAACAGCGAAGAATGGAGAGCATTTCTAAAGACATCGGCGCTCCGACTTCCCGATGTCGGCGAATCGCACGGGTGAAGTTACGATGCCGCCTTCCAACTCCCAGTTTTCGTAGTTGTAGCCTTTCCAGGGGCTCAACGTCTGGCCGACCGTGAGTTTCCGACCCACCCCATAGGAAGCGGCCAGATAGCCTTGTCGCACACAGTCAAGGACACCATTTCCGCTGGTCCCGTACCACGAGCCAGCCAGCGTCAGCCGGTGGTGGAACTCCTTCCGGACCGCTTGGGAGAGGGCATGCATGCGATCAAGATGGTCGACAGTATACTGCGGGATGGCATCTACGTGGAGGTAGCTCTTCGCCTCGAGCGGCTCGGCGGTGATTTTGAGGTGCCTCTGAAGTACAGCACGAGCATGACTGCAGGCCTGATCATGGTTGGGTAGACTCGACTTGGGCAAGCCGTCCCACCAGTGACCACCGAGCATTACGGTCAATTTGGTGTTACCGACAGTATCTTGGCCAACGGAAGTTTCGTTTCCGAAGATGACCCCCAGGGCCAGCTCGGGATTCTGTTCATACGAGACACTCCGTGGAATGAGGTACCCAAAGCCCCTAGGTATGTCTAGGTTGTCTTCGGCCTTGTAATATAGGTTGACCACCATGACCGTTACGGCATAGTTGTTTTCGTCAGCCCGGAAATGCTTTACGGATTCAGTCGGATAGAACCGGCTCTTGGCCATCCACTGAGGAATCATTTTCGCCATAGAAAGCGGTTTGATGGTAGAGATCACCCGGTCGTATGATTGAGGACCGTCTGTTCCTTGATCGATCTAGAACCGCATCAGCTTTTTCGGCCAAATGCCACACACACACAGCACTGGGCCAGCTCCTTACCATAATTTTGTCCGTGGAAGAATCGTGCATCATATAGCGTATGTTAGCCGAAATAATGACCTCGGCCTTCTCAGACTCCTGTAACCGTTTGGCGATAGCGCGGGGAAATTGTTCCAGGCCCTCCTTCAGGGTGAACACACTGGCACCGCTGAGCAGCGACTTGAGGGATTTCCAGTACTCAGGGCCCTTTTCAGCTCCCAAAGACTGCAGGGCCATGAGATCGTCCATCTTCCAATAACTTCGTCCAGCCAGCCCGTCCAGGAGCAGCTCTTTCAAGATGCTTCCATTCTCCTCCCGCATTCGGAGGGCGCCCATCAATGTGCGCGCACTTAGACGGTCGATATCACCGGCAAAAATGCCAGCCATGACCGCAGAGACCAAGTTATCCGCCACCTTCGCGCCGAAACGACGCGAGATGAAGTCCGCGATCGACTCGTCACGTTGATCGGACATGGGCGCCGGATCCCAGTACTCGTGAAGAGCATCCTTGGCGACACCATCAAATAAGGGCTCCTTGGTCACCGTGTTCCATAGTTCCGAGAGATTCTGCAGCCAGCTCTGGTCGGGGCGCGGTTGAGGAATGCGCACCAAATGATCGGGAAAGTAGATATAACGGTTGGTAGCGGCTGGAGAGGATTTCGCTGTCACGACTACATCACCAAGCAAGTCTAGCTCAGACATCTGCCTCGTGCATTAGCTGGGTGTGGAATTGGTATGGAAGCGAATGCGGCGGTCAGAATACCATGTCAAGGAGAGGGAAACATGTCGGGAATCCTGCTCGTAAGGTCCGCGGGCCGCGTTCGAGAATGAGGTCCCCTACCCCCGAATCCGCGGAGTCGAGCGTCACCTTATCTGATTGCATCCAGCCGCCGAGGCGGGGCTGTGACTCGTAGAGAGTGACCTTTTTGCATGCTGGATCTCGCATCAACCGGTAGGCTGCTGTAAGGCCGGTAATGCCTCCGCCAATGACGGCGGCATTATACCGTTCGGTATGCAGGTAACGATTCCCATTGCCACTGCGGACCAATGGCGCCCGCGCCACTCTGAGTGCGACTTTTGAGGAGCATACTAGCCGCATCTCGAGTGAGGGCGAGGCTGAAGGGGAGATGACGTAGGGACTGGGGACGACGAACGACAATCGGGGGTATATGTATATGGAAGGGTTGGAATTGGAGCTGGCAGTATCCCCGCACGGGATGGGCGGTAAATCCCTTCTAGTACAAGGCGGTGGGCTAAAGATCACTGAGTGGACTTGTGTAGTTGACCCTATCACTGTACTCCAATGTTGCCAGACCCAAACAACAAGTAGCGTCTCTCCTCTTCGATATTGATTACTGCGAACGTACGAAAGAAAGTATGACCAATCTGATAAAGAACTGAACCAAGTATCATATCATGTTACTACAAGCTGTGTCATATTATCCTTTTATGGAAAACGCCGTATGAGAAAGGTCCATGATATCCCCATTCTATTTACAACCCAGTAAGAGATTCTGTCATAATGTCAAAAGCAAACTTAAACGCCCTTCCTAGCCGTCAACCACCCTTCACACGGACATAGTACATGTCGAACCGAGGACTGTGGAGGGAGCATATGCAGTGCAAGCAATTATCAAAGCACGCAAGCCACATCATGTCACAATCTCCTGGCTCTGCGAGCCGTCCGTAGCGCCCGGCTTGATCAGTTCCTCCTGCCCATCTTCATCCGTCACGAATTTTCTCTCACTCACGTGGGGCTTGCCGGAGCCGGGGGTCCAAACTTTATCGGAGAAGGCACCCTTTTGACCCTCGGCGTGCTTATAGGGGCAGCTCGGGTTGAGACAGGGATTGAACTTGCAAGCCGTTTGGAGATGTGTGAATTTGCAGCCTTCGGTAGTGCAGTCGGCACCATTGCGGCATAACGGCATGGAAGGGTGCTTGAAGTGGCAGTTGGGGTTGGCACAGTTGGGGAAGAACCTGCACATCTCCTCGGCCTGGTGCGCGGACTTGACAGCTGGAGAAGGATGACGCCCTGTGCACTTGCGATTCTTGCATGCCGCTCCATACGGACAAGGGTCCGCGATATCGACCGGGCTGCCTTCCGGTGCTGCTGGGGACTGGTGGGCGAAAGGACAGTCCCTTCGCGTGCATCGAAGATTGAATCGACAAACAGTATCGGTGTTGCTCTCGTCCTGCTCCCCTTGAGGCTTCATATCCATCTCGGTATCGTTATCATGTTCGTTTGTGCGATTGTTGCGCTGGTTGCGTTGATGCCGGTTGCCGTGCTGGCGTTCGACGCGATCGAATAATGAACGGCCCTGCTGGGAACCATTTTGCTGAAATGCCGGGTTGATTGCGGGAGAGACGAAGCCAGGCATGAGTTGTGCCATCATCCGTGCCTGCTCTTCTAGAAGAGACATCAACTGCATTTGATCATTCTGACTCATGTTCATCATCGGTCCCATGTTCATCTGACGGCCGCCCTGCATCCTTCCTCCACCATTCTGATTGAACCGACCCTTTGGGTTGTTCTGACCGTGAGAGTTGATCCGTCCGCCACCGGGTCCACGAACGCGATGGAGAGTCGAGTCGCCACGATCGCCGCGATCCATAGCCCTGTTTATTTGGTTGAGCATCCGCCCTCTTCCCGCGGGGCGCCCATTGCGCATTGCCTTCGGGCCCGTTGGTCTTCAAGATTCCAGTTAGCCAGATTCTTGTGGCGGTACAGAGATAACAAGACACTTACATAGAGTCGCCTGCCAAGGTTCCGTCGTCAACCATAGCCATGTCTCCATCTTCTTGGACGTTGTTCTCAAGCCCGATCGGCTGGGGGACAGCGGCGTCCTGCTCTGCGAACGAAGGGATTGCGTGCGCGGAAGTCGGGTCGCTCAAGGCCGGGGCGCCGCCACCGTTGAGCTGTTGGTTGAGAATCTCGACCTGTTCGAACAACCACCTTGAGAACTCGAGAGCCTGGGTATCACCTTCACCAAGGCCAAGGAGATCGTTGGACAGTTCGCCGGCGATCTGCTCTTGGGTCTTGCCGTTGACCAACATCAGAATCACATATTCGATCAAGGCTGAATCGTCGCCATCAGAACTCCACCCCATCTCGACTAATTTCGGAGGGATGACATTGCTCAAAGCTTCCGCGAGCGGAGTGCCTGCTGCAACCGTTGTCGTCATGATGAAGGGCGCAGTGAGTGCGAGTCAGGTGTGGTGTGGCAAGGAGGGAGGGAGGGAGAAAAGAGAGGCTTGATAAGTGCTAAATGCCGCACTGCTGATTAACAGGGCGCGCGTATCCACGCTAACTGTGTAGAATAAAACTACTTCTAAGTATTTGTGTCTCTGGTGGAGATTTCGAGGAATTCTAGGTTGAAAGGGATAAGAATAGAGACAAAAAGTTGGTAGTGATATAGGTTGGGATGGTGCTTTTGAACGCAGGGACTTTCATTGCGGGCTGATGATGAAAGACAACCACCACCGCCGAGAACACTTGCCCCAGCCACAGTTGAGTCACGTGTATGCAGAAAGAGACGAGGCAAGAGGATATGCTGTGGCGCAGCAGCTTACTGATAGGCCTACGCCAACTGGCAGGCCCGGGCCAGTGTGTGGGACTTCCCCTTTGGGCAGGAGGGTGGAATGCCCGCTGCGGCCTTAACACCCCATACTATGTTCAGTGAGTCGGGACTCACGTACTTTTAGTGATACGTACTCTACCTTCTACACAGTACGTGAGTCCCGACTCACTGAGTTTCCTGCTAATCCGGGGGGGTACTTGGTACTTCACACTCTTACTTTAGCTGCCAATTTCCGCAAAATGACTACTTCTCGTCATGTTAGTAACGCTCTGCTGACATGTTCAGGCAGCCAGTTGGACTTGGGATGTCACCCCATGCTAACGTCTATGTAGTGCTTTTCGCTATGATCGCGCTCAAGTCTCGAAATCCCCTCCCCCAAGGAAACCAACCCCACTGAGCAGTAGCTTGTGATCGACTATGCCTCGGCCAACGGCTATGAGACCCTGAGCCCATCGGCTTCAACACGCGGGGTTCGCAAGCATTTCTCAAACAGGAATCGCGCTAAGACGTAGACTTCTCCCGGACACAAACTAATGGGTGATCGCCGTCGCAGAACCATGTCTGCACCATTCCATGCCAGAGCCGGTGGTTGCAATTGTAATGATTCCCTGACTCCGCACCCAGTCCTCATGGCAATCAATCTTTATATTGCCCTGCTGTCACTGCCAACGCATACCAGGCTCGTCTTGACCTTATCCGAGCAACGAAGCCGTTAACGCCCCGAACAGCGACCATGATTGAGGAAACCCTGACCAAGATGACCCTGGGCAAGGCAGCATTATGCCTCTTGGGGGTTCTTTTTATCGCAGGCCTGCTTCGCAAAATCCAGGTCTCTCTCGAGATCTCTCGACTTGGCTGCAGGGCCCCTCGAGTGCCACTCAAGTTGCCATATGGTGCGTACTTACCATGTAGCATCATCTGTAGCGTGGGAATACTGACAGGTTCAAATCAAAGCCATCGATCACATATACAGAGCCCTGGCTGCCAGTACCAAGTTCAAGGACTTGGAGTTCTGGAGCAACACTGTCAGAAACGCCAAAGGCGCATCAGGAGTGGCATTCCCACAGACCGTGGAGATTGACTCGGGAATCTCCAACCGGGTTATCTTCACACTAGACCCTGACAACATAAAAGCCCTACTCACCGGCCAGTTCGCCGACTATGGCAAGGGGGAGCAATTTCACCGTGATTGGAAGGAGTTCTTAGGTGACAGTATCTTCGCGACCGACGGAGAACTCTGGTCTCGCTCCAGGCACCTGATCCGTCCCATGTTCGTTCGCGAGCGCATCGTCGACACCGAGCTCTTCGAAAAACATGTCCAAAAGCTGATTCCCCTTCTGGCGGGAGGGCCCTCCTCCAGCGAGGGCAAGGTTGTTGATGTCACTCCTTTGTGCTTCAGATACACTCTGGACGCTGCGACAGATTACCTTCTAGGTCAAGGAACAAACAGTCTTCATAACCCGACCACCGTCTTTGCCGAGGCTTTTCGTTACGTGCAGCGTTGCCAGGCTGATATCTTTCGAACGGGGTATGTATGGTCCATCAACTGTCACCAATAGCAGCAACAAGACTAACATTCTTCTCAAACCCCAGTCCCTTCAACTTCCTCATCCCGCGCAAGGAGTTCCGCAGGAATCTTCGCATCATGGATGAGTTCATGCGACCCTACATCGAACGAGTCCTGGCTCTCACCCCGGAAGAACTCGACCAAAAGCTCTCCAGCAAGGACACTTTCCTCGACGCCCTCGCCCGCTTCACCCGCGATCCCCAGGTCCTCCGCGATCAGCTCGTGGCCATCCTCCTGGCCGGCCGCGACACGACAGCCGCAACGCTCTCCTTCTGTCTCTTCGAGCTCGCGCGCCACCCGGACGTCGTCTCCCGCCTCCGCGCCGAGATCGACGCGCGCCTGGGTCTCGGCCCCGACGGCCGCAAACCCAGCTACCTCGATCTGAAGGAGATGAAGTACCTAAACGCGGTGCTCAACGAGACCATGCGCCTGTACCCCGTGGTGCCCTTCAACGTGCGCTCCTCGCTGAGGAACACCTCCCTGCCCCGCGGTGGCGGCCCCGACGGCCTCTCCCCCGTCGGCGTCCGCGCCAACACCCGCGTCATCTACTCCACCATCCTTATGCAGCGGGCCCCCGAGAACTACCCGCCCCCCGGCAGCCCCGGGTACTGCGACCCAGCGCAGTGGATTCCCGCGCGGTGGCTGTCCGGCTGGCAGCCCAAACCCTGGCACTTCATCCCCTTCAACGGCGGGCCGCGCATCTGTCTCGGCCAGCAGTTCGCCACCATCGAAATGGGCTACACCGTCGTCCGCATCCTGCAGGCCTACCGCGCCATCCAGGCTCTGCCCGCGCACGGCATGATTCAGGTCGTGGACCCGCCTTTGAAGTTCGAGGTCACACTGACGCCCGCGGCGGAGTTGAATTGTGTGTTTGAGCGTCATGCCGCTGGGGATCTCCTCGCTGAGAAGGCATAGCCGTCAGGTAGGGCTACCAGTACCAGCGGTCTGACTCTGATTAGAGACATCTGGTTTGGAAAAGTAAAGTGGGCAGGTAGGGAGGGAAGATTTTCTCATGCGACGACAGACTCGCAGGATCGAGGGGACCGCATTTTTTGCTGTATTACGGCCTATACACGGTCGGCTGTTTTGCATACTGTATTCATTCATAACTTGCTCTTACTTTCCCTGCTGCGCTAGTCCACGAGTCTTGCCTTTAGGGGTGGAATTCTTGTCCCAATATCACAGAACCCCAGACTTTGCCCTCCTCACCTTCCTCAACCTCTGTAGAATCTCCACCCTCCGCAACTCAAGGTACAAGTCCTCCTCATCCGCCCCCTCCAGATCAGCCGACGTGCTGCCGATCAAAGAGACCTGGAGCGGCCAGACCTCGCCTATTGCTTTCGAGGCAGAAGTAGAAGCAGCAGCAGCGGTAGCAGTAGTCGCACGATTCTGGCCCCCAACAACCGCCCCATTCAAGTTCGAAGACATACCCACGCCAGCATTCTCCGACGACGACGACGACGCCGCCGCCGCTGGGTTCTGCTCTCCCGCCCTACGACGGTGACCGTCATCGCCCACCCACCCCCGACTCATCGCCACCGCCTTCTCCCACAAGGCGAACGCCCGCGCGCTCTCCTCGCGACATCCGGGCCGGGGCTCGAAGACCGTGCCCCCGCTGCCACTGGCCCGGTTGATCTCGCGCAGCTCGGTGAAGTTCCGCCAGACGCCGGCGGCTAGCCCGGCGGCGATGGCGGCGCCCAGGGCGGTGGTCTCGCGCATTTGGGGCCGGTAGACGGGGATGGAGATTAGGTCTGCTTGGATCTTGTGCAATTATTAGTTGCATGGTGGTGGTGGGCTGGGGCGTTTTGGAGTTTTGGGTGAAAAGGGGGAAGAAGTGTATGGTCGGTTTGGTTGGACTTTGCCTACCTGCATGGCTAGGTCCGAGTTGCTCATGCCTCCGTCCACGGCTAGCTCGGTGAGGGAATGGCCGCTGTCTTTCTCCATGGCGGCGAGAATGGCTTTGGTTTGGAAGCAGGTGGCTTCGAGGATGGCGCGGGCGAGGTGGCCTTTCTGGGTGTATTGGGTTATTCCGACTGTTATTTGTCTGTTAGTTGGTGTGGTAGGCTTCAAGGGTGAAGGAGGCGGAGGCGAGGGGTCTGTAGAGCTAGAGTGGAGAGGGGTTATTATCTTACAGATAGTCCCTCGGGCATCATCGATCCAGTAGGGAGCAAAGAGGCCGCTGAAGGCAGTGACAAACACACAGCCCCCGTTGTTCTCGACTGTCAACGCCAGATCGTTGACTTCGGCGGGCTCCTTGAAGAACTCCAGGTTGTTCTGGAGGAACTTGATCCCGGAGCCACCTACTGCGATGCTCCCTTCCAGGGCATATACCGGTTTCCCGTCGAAGTGGTACGCCACGGTGGCCAGGAGACCGTGCGAGGAGATGACCGGGGTCTCGCCTACATTGTACAGAAGGAAGCAGCCCGTGCCGTAGGTGTTCTTGGCCGTTCCAGGCGAGAACCCCTTCTGGCCGACCAGCGCTGCCGATTGATCCCCCAGGCAGCCAGTGATCGGTGTGCCCGCTAGAGCGCCATGCGCGAGCGTCCCATAGGCCGTGGTGTCCGAAGAGCGGACTATCTTGGGCAGATGGATCCTGCCTTTGATGCCGAAGAAGTCCAGGAGATAGTCGTCGTATCTGAAAGTCTGCAGATTCATGAACATGGTTCGCGAGGCGTTGGTAGGGTCGGACACGAAGACGTTCCGTTTGGGACCTCCGTTGAGTCGGTACACCAGCCACGCATCGACGGTACCAAAAGCCAGCGTGCCCCTTTCGTAGGCCTCTTGGACTTCGGGCACGTTCTCAAGCATCCAGAGAAGCTTCGATGACGATGAATAGGTGGACAGCGGGAGACCACAGATCTGCTGCAGTCGCGATGCCCCCAATGCTTGTTTGAGTCGATCCACAATATCTTGTGATCTGGTGTCTGTCCAGACGATTGCATTGTAGAGTAGTTCGCCGGTTTCTGAGTCCCACACAATGGTGGTTTCGCGCTGGTTCGTGATGCCAACTGCTTTGATATCGGAGCGAGACAACCATTGGGCCTCGAGCTTGGTGACGGCTTCTTCTATGCATGTTTCCACGGAGGAGATTATCTCGAGCGGATCTTGCTCATGCCAACTGAGTCTGTGTCAGTGATAGATAGTTGTTGTAAGAATGTTGTTGCCTCACCCTGGGTTTGGATAGATTTGTGTAAATTCGACTTGATGAGATACCACTAGCTCGCCAGCTTCGTTGAAAATGAGGAACCTGGTGCTAGTAGTTCCTTGGTCGATTGAGCCAACAAATACATCTGGTCTGTCCATCTTGCTGGGAGGGACAAAAGTCTCATTGGCGGTTGTTTGAGCACCAAGCTCTTGATATAGGTATTGAAATGTGGGTGGATAGCTTCTGTAGTCATTGGGGATTCCTCCAAGAGCTCTTTGTGTTATATATCAAACGACATGGACACCAGACCATTGAGGGGTTGGGGAAGTTGGCGGGGCAGTAACTGCAATAGACAAAGCATACTTGTACAACCCTACACTTGTGACAGGGTGCTCATCTGCGGGGCATCTTGAAAATTCATATACATTAGCGCATGGCTCAAACAGCCTGTTCAAGGGCTCAACCGTTGGCTTGCACCACATCCTTGCTCATAGAACGGTTTCAACATTGCGTGAGCTCCCAGCCAGCTGTGAAGGTGGACAATGTTCCGAACACGAGAGCCAGATAGTTCGCTCAGTGCTGGTCTGTCTGCGGCAGGCTGTGGCACCAGCAGAGATTGGGCCGGCTGTGCAATTCCCCCCTTGAGCTTGGTCTTGTGATAGAGTGGCTTGGAGGCTTGGAGGGCTGTAGAAAGGATGATGAAATGATGGTGAGAAGAAGGAGGGAGAGGAGGAAGAATGGGGAATGGCTCTGTAAGCCAGTTGAACCTGCATCCACTGGCATACAACCAACTGCAGTCCAGTCTCATGCATGGATGAATTCTAGAAGGCTTTGGCCTTGCTCAGCCAGTTCTTGACTACACACTTTGATGCAGTGACCAAAAAAATGGTAGGTCACAAAACGTGAACGTTCTTGCATAAGTCTAATGCTGAGGACAGTGTCACTCTGTTTCGAACAGCCTCACATTAGTCACATCGTGTCTCTCGCATGTGCTTCGTCATGAACCCCCCTCACCATGCCCATGGGTTGCACAAGCGGTGTTCAGTTACTCAATGGACACAGGGGTGCTGTAGGACATGAGCAACTACCTATATGTGCAAGCCTGTTCCTGTCGAGCTGATTGATCAATGATACCAGTCCAGATACCAGTCCAAGTCACGCCTATCAAATCAACTGTCGCCCCTACCCCAGTTAGACGAGGAAAGTTAAGCTCAATCGGCACCAGCAGTATCAGCAGGCTGCTGTTCAACTACCCCAATCCTATACGTCCATATCTCCGAGTGGCCATAACGGGGCCGGGGAATGGATGTAGGTCTGTTGGCCAGGTTGGACAATTCTGCACTCCCTGAGAAAGAGATATACAGAATTATGATACCTATGATAGACCTACCGGCCTTTTGTTTCACGCCATATCTCGCGCACCCGGATATCAACTTGGCGAGGAAGCCCGTTCCGGGGCAATCAAAACAAGCTATACCAACTATGGCGACGGCGAGAGAGTGAATGTGAAGGGCACACCATGGAGGATATTGACAACCAAGCTAGTAGCAGCATGTCCCACCACGTCTCTTGGACTTCTCCTTTCCTACATCTCGGCGATTTCTCCAGGCCCGGGACCCTCTTGCTACATAAACACTTCTCCGTCCCCCTTCCTCCTCTGGCCTTCGAGATGGACAAAGTCTACTACTCATACATGGCGGACCCTGTCATCCAGAGTAGCATAACCCTAGCCAGTGCGAGCAAGAACCTCGAAGCCGCCGTCGATGGCCTCAACCTGACCGAGGGCGAGTCCACACCGCCGCCAACCCAGCCACGATGGAGCCGAATCCGACATGTCTTCCGCTATGCGGTCTCCGAATTCTTCGGCACCATGATCATGATGCTCTTCGGTGACGGGGTGGTAGCGCAAGTGCTGCTCAGTGGGAAACAGAAAGGCGAGTATCAGTCGATCACCTGGGGCTGGGGGTAAGCTTTATGTCGTTTCCATTTTATCCACCGTGACACACGCACACACACACACACACACACACACACACACACACACACACCCACCCCCACACCTCATCACCGTATTCCACCCACAGCTAACCACCCACCATCATCACAGCCTCGGCGTCATGCTCGGAGTCTACGTCTCCAGCCCCTCCGGCTCGCATCTCAACCCCGCCGTCACCCTCGCCAGCTGCCTGCTCCGCCGCTTCCCCTGGCGCCGCTTCCCCATCTACATCCTCTCGCAGCTGCTAGGCGCCATGTGCGGGGCCGCCATCGTCTATGCCAACTACCGCTCGGCCATCGACGCCTACGAGGGGGGGTCGACCATCCGCACCGTCCCCGGCTACTCCCCGACAGCCACCGCAGGCATCTTCAGCACCTATCCCGCCGCCTTCATGACGCGAACGGGCATGTTCTTCTCCGAGTTCCTCGCCAGCGCAATCCTGATGTTCGGGATCTTCGCCGTGAAGGATAACACGGAGCTCAAGCAGGACAGCACCGCCGCTCCAACAACGACAAAACCCCCCCGTCTCCCCCTCATGATGCCCCTAGCAATGTTCTTCCTCATCTTCGGCATCGGCGCCTGCTTCGGCTGGGAAACAGGGTACGCGATCAACCCGGCCAGGGACTTTGGTCCGCGCCTCGTGACGTATATGATCGGGTACGGGCCCGAGGTCTGGAAGGCCGGGGGGTATTACTTCTGGGTGAGCTCCTCCTCCCCTCAACCTCGCACGATCACCTTCCAAAGCATAAGAAGTCACCCCCGAACAGCTCAACTAACGAGTAGAGAATCGGGTCTAGATCCCAATGATCGCCCCCTTCGGCGGCTGCGCCTTCGGCGGCTGGCTCTACGACGTCTTCATCTACACCGGCGCGGACAGCGTGGTCCACGACACTCCTCTGTTCGGTCTTGGTCGCTGCGTCACTCGCCGGCAGAAGGTCGAGGATTTCCGTCGTTGGTATCGGGGGCGGGGGGGGAGTCCGGGCTTGGATGATGCGCTGCAGGGGAGGAGTCCGGTGTGAGGCTTACACACTACACGCACAGATACACAAAAACAGGAGGACAGGGTCTCAGGGTTCGGATGCGGAGGGTTTGCCGGCATTGCTTGGTAACTAAACCTCTGACGATGATGAAGTATGAGGATTAGGTTGGTGTTTTATGTCGGGGTTGGGGTTGTGCAGGGTAGGTTATACTCTAGGTTGCTCTAGGATCGCGCACCGGGCTTCTACCTTTGCAGAGAAGCGGTAGCCCGGGCTGTTCTATTGGCTGTTGGTTCGTTGGCTTGTCGGCTTGTTGTGGGCTTGACGATCGTGGGCGCCGGGGGTTGCTTGGACTCGATAGTGATGGTCTGGAAAGAGTTAGGATGGTTGGGGTACTTTGTTAGAAGGCGGCTTGTGTTGTCCCCCTTCCAGAAAAATAGTTAAGTGTGGTGTTCGTCGGGTCAAATGGCAAGAAAAAGCTTGACCGGCACGCTTGGACGGTTCCCACAACAGTGATCTGCTGATCGCTTCCATAACAACTAGCTTGTGTACAGTACTTCCGGTTGCGGCGTATCAAGTCTCATGGATGTCTTTTAAGGTGATAGTACTAGCTAATATTGTCTAGGCCACGGGCTCTAAGTAGTGTGCTCTAAATCCAACAGTCTCGCCAGCATGTTGGTGGCTGTCCCACTGACGTTATACACATCTCATAGAAAATATCGACAAGATCAAGCTGCGGAGAGGTCGTCGTTCATATACATAGTAAGCAATAATTCATAAATAGTCGTGCATCATTAGTCTTGGTTGTATCGTGTCGTATAAAGTCGCCTCGCAATGATCGTTAAAATGTAACATAACTCGTAAAGGTGTATCATTCGCAATGGATAGGCATGGATTAGAACAGAGCCAGTGTGAACGAGATGAGCCCACAAATAGCAGCCATGGAAAGTGGAACGTTATAGGAACCGCGGCCTGCGTCGACGTCGGGTGCTATGTGGAGCGTCTCAGTCGGCGATACTTGTGTGGGTCGCGTCGAAGATTCAGTTAAAATAGTAGGCTGGGTAGTTTCGATGGCTTTCGTGGTCATGGTGGAAGATGAAGAGGTTGTATGGCCATTGTTCAGACCGGTCTGGGATGTAGCAGTAAAGCTGTGTGATGCAGAGCTGCTAACAATCGAACTAGCTGTCCTTGAGCCACTTGAAGTCGAGACGATTTGCGAGCCAGTCGGTATTGAACTAGTCGTGAATGAACTGGCTATGATCGAGCTGGTCGTCACCGGAGTGGTCGTCATTGAACTGGTCGCCGTCGAACTGGTCATCATCGAGCTGGTCATTATCGAGCTGGTCATTATCGAGCTGGTCATTATCGAGCTGGTCATTGTTGGGCCGGTCAAATGCGTGCTAGTTTCCCTAGAACTGCTAAGCATCGTACTGCTTGTCACCAGGCCGGTCGTTATCGAGCTGGTCGTTTTCCAGTAGGACGTTGGAATGGTCTTCAGCGAGCTGATCCTCGTCGAGCTGGTTAAGCTTATCAAGCCGGTCAACGCCACACTAGTCCCCGTTGGACCGGCGATTGAGCTAGCCATCGAGCTGGTTCTAGAGACGAAGGGGGAGGATGAGGCCGGCACAGATGGCGAGCAGGCTGATGTAGACCGGGAGGAAGGCTGTTCATTGAGATGCGTCAACTATCGTTCAACAAGTCATCAAAGTTGTACTGGAGATGCTCACTCACGGAAGCCGCACTTGGCGGCTGAACCTGTCCTGAACTGGAATATGACCAAGTACCAGTGTAGGCAGCGGCTGCCCCTGTGCCAGTGACCCAGGGCCAGACGTCGGGGGTCACATAACTCGAAGTCTCTCGATGGGTTCCAGGCCAAGGAATTGGAATGCTGACCGTCGCGGTTATGGTAGGTGCAGATTGAACGGAAGAAATGGTGTCCGCGTTGATGTTGCCATTGATCTTGCCTCCATCCGAGGTAATTGACGTCCACAGTCCACTTTTGTCACTATACGTGTAGGAGGACCCTGTCGAGTAGTCGGTAACTTTGAGGGACTTCATGTACATTGTGTACGGCCCAGCGCTGTAGTCAGTCTCTCCACCAGCCCAGTCTACCAAAGGCGTTAGCAAACAGAAGATATCTTTTGGGCACATTGCTAGTATATCTCACCGATCGTCCCCTGTGCGTTATTCGGGTCGCCTCCGGCCCAAATTCCCACTTTGACTACCATTGGCGACTGGGGATATTGATTGGTATTAGCTGTCTCGGGGGTAAGCACCCGCACTGTCTTGCCGTCGATCTGCCAGACAATCTGCTCGTCGGTCCAATCGATGGTATACGTGTGGAACTCGTCGTGGTTGTTGGCGACGTCATGAGTCGCTCCGCGATTGTTTGGGGTGGTTGCTCCTTTTCCAAAGTAGTTGCTCTGCACCAGATTGTCGTTCCCACCGAGCCACTCCCAATCAATCTCATCTAGGTCGTCAGATTGCAGTATGGCACTGCTGACAATGCCGGTTCCGGGGGCCGCTTTGATCACATATTCAACACGTCCGAACATGATGTACCATTTGGACTGGATAAGTGGGGCATCCCCCTCTTTGGCCACTGTGAACGCAACCCCATCATCACTATATGTTGGGGTACCCGTTGGCTCAAAGTCGGAAGAGCTTCCTTGGGTAAAGTCGAAAGATGCGGACTTTCCCAGTGCGGTGTCCGCAGGACATGCTGCCAAGAGTGGTTAACTTGTTTCTTCATAATTTGGGAGAACCCGGACGTACTGCTCTCCGTAGGATTACAGCTAGTGTATGTCTGAGCCGTGGCCAGGCTCAAGAAGGAGAAGAGGCCTACGACGGCCCCAAGTCGATGGAGCTGCATAGCAAGAAGTATGTGTAGTAGGCAGTCGGGCGAAAGTCAAGTGACACGGAGACAAATTAAATATCGATGAAGATAGATAGAGTGTCTTAACGAGGGAGCTTTAAGGAGTTGAGAGCCCTTGTGTGGCCCGAGTCGCTGTCAAACTGAGAAAATAAGGCGACGGAACAAGGTTGTGAAGTATTAATACTCCGTAGGTAGTATACAATCGATCACGGGCGGCCCACCACGTGTTGGAGAATTGACGAAAAGTGCAGTTTCGGAATGGGGGAAGGGGGACGGGGGGGGGGGGGAGGGGAGGAGAGTAAAAGGGATTAAGAATTGAGGTACTCACAGCCATAGCTCAGACGCAGGAACTAAAAAAGGACGGTGGAGAGAGTGTGTTGGAAAAGTGAAGTATGAACCTTCTGAATCGTCCAGCCTCCTCGCTTTTCCACTCCATATTTTACCCAATCGGGCAGGATGATCTCTCATTGGCTTCCTCCGAGCGGCGGTCAAAGCATCTCCGAGTGACGCTGCCTTATGTAAGGCATCACCTTCACTCCAGCAACCCGAAATTAATACTACACAGATATGCTCAGGTATACTGTAGAGATCCCTGCCGTGGCCGCATTGCTGCTCGGCTGTCCTCTACCGATGATGAAATCAACCATATCCGACTGACTCTCTGACTTCATCTACACCGACGGGCATGCGCACACGTCAAGGTTCTAAGTTGTGTCACTATGCAAACCGCTTTTCTAACAATAGCATCAAGCGCCACCCGCCGATTAAACTATTTTAGCACCGTCTGCCCGCCCCATTCCCAGCCTCCCTTTTTTGTCCTGGTCCTATCTGTGCATGTAACAGTAGACATCAAGGCACAAGATGGTGTTGGTGGCCGCGATCAAGGAATGACATGTTCATTGTTTACCTGCAAGCTTCGGCAGGTGTGGGGCAAGGTGCCTGGCAATCTGCCGTGCATGCAGCCAGAGTGACGCTCTGCCCTCGTCTGATGCCATGCACTTTGCGTGACCTCTGCAGTCGCACGCTGGCGCTAGCATGGCATTTCCGGGCTACTTGATGTTGCTGATTCTTGCCTTGTCATTGCATCATCCTGTGTGACCTGCGGTCAACAAATAAAAGGTCTTTCAGTGAGGTTGTTATCTCGGACTAATATTGGCTTTGGATTCGACCTTGAGCGTGGTCAGCAATCAGGCCAGCACCATAATTTACCAGCAGGCTTGAGCTTTGCCCTTTGTCTGCGTGGTGGGATGACGATACAACTGGGTACACTTGGCATGGGTTTTCGTACATCTGCAATCTGCATAGACTCGGGCGAGGAGACTAGATCTCGGAGTAACCTCGTTGTCTAGATCACATAGCATAAACGCGTGTGGACGCCGATCACATTCAACCATGTTCCAAAACCCAGTACCGCTGTAAGTTTGCGAGTGAGCAAACATGCCACATCTATAGCAGAATTCAAGCTTAAGTTCGACCTTCTCTGATCGAGTCTCTAGATTGTCTCGTCTTGGGTCATGCGAGTGACAATACGGTGCCTCGAGTATGGGCAATAGCCGAGAGTTGGGCTACAGTGAGGGGGTGGCCATATTATAGCTGTAGTCAATGCCTGGTAGGCGGTAGAGATAGGCACTCTCTTCAGTCGCACGGCGACATTGACCAGTGACATGGAGCACAATTTAGGCTCAATTGCTCAGGGTATATATACTCCGACCAGCGGTTTCCCGTCCTTGACTTCCGGCCGAATGTTTTGGGCCCCTTTCAAGCAAAAGTGTTGCGAGGTTCATTTTATTGGTACGCAAATCTCCTGCCAGAAGCCTTTGCTGGGTAATGTAGTCCGACGGCTTCTGATACTTGACTTCTGTTGAGAAGGATAACTCTTGTGGATTGAGTCTTTTGCATATATTGAGACTCCACCTATTATGGGAGCTAGTGTCATTGGTAGCAGTCTTCTGGTCGGAACAAAGAAACCGCTGCGCCAGATTGGGAGTAGCGAGCAGGTGGGGATCAAACAGGGATAGCAATGAGACATGCTAGGGGAGTGAATGATTTAGAGAAAGGATGTAAGGACAGGTTGCTGGATACGCTGTAGGCAGAGAAGTAACATGGTGGTCGAATGAAGATGACGCAAAAAAAAGGAAATCGCTAGCATGTCCTGGTTTCGATCCAGGGTCCTCCGGGTTATGAGCCCGGCGCTCTTCCCCTGAGCTAACATGCTTGATTGATGTCATTTGTGAGTCATCAATGCTCTATAGGCTTAGATAACCGCCTCAGGCATAATAGTCTGCTCGACAATTTCCAGGACTATACTTTGCCATGAAAGTTGAGTGGAGTTTGTTTTATCGGCTAGTGTTCTTCTATTGCTGTGGCATAGCTATTCACTATATGTACCAGTGTGACTGTCAGCTGCTGGTCACGTATCTAATCTGCTTGATTATGTCAAATCAGCCAGTTATTCATTATAACTGAATGCAAGCATTGCCCTCGGTGCGGGACCCTTGCGAGTATATATACAGCGGCTCCGAGGTGGAAAAGTTACCACACGCAACGAGTACAACCAAATTGTAACATCAGTCAGACCACATACTATACCAAGGTAGCCACAGAGACCATCAAACCACACCGAGTTGAAAAGAGGGGGCGCGTTAGATGAACGTCGCCCCCTTTCCACCCTGGCAGACCGACAACGCAAATCTCAGCGGTAGGAATTAGCGACTCCCAAAGGACATACAGGTCTCTCAACGGTTGCTACGAAAGGTAGCATCATATCTCAAGGCACAGCTATAGACCTATCAGAACAACAAAATGAAACATCAAATAGAAAAGGATAGAGAACTTTTGGTGGTACTAAATACGATGCAAAAATAAAAAGAAATTATTTAGCATGTCCTGGTTTCGATCCAGGGTCCTCCGGGTTATGAGCCCGGCGCTCTTCCCCTGAGCTAACATGCTAGGATTGATGAAAGAAACCTCATGCTTTGTCACCATAGGTCATAACGTAATCGGTAAGCGAGCGGAACGCGCAAGCGAGTGGAACGCCCAACTCGTGATTCTGCTTTATATACAAATTTGAAGTCAAATATCAACCTTTTTACACCGTTCAAATTGCCTCTTCTTGGTGTTTTACTCTTGCTGGACACCATGTCCGTATATGACCAACTTTATTACACGAAGAACAGCGAGGTGGCGCGCGCCGGCGAGGCTGTTCCTCGCCGGCCGCAGAATCAGACCGTTGGATTCCCAAGGCTTCATCTTCCTCACGAGCCCGGCGAAAAAGCTGTATAGCTTCATGAACTGTAGCTCCTTCGAGGCCTGCCAATTGGCGATTACTTCGTTTCCTCTTCTTAGTCTGGTGTTCGTCTGCAGCCCGTAAATCATGATTTTCCTGTTCAAGTAAGGCTGCCCTGTTTAACGCGATTTCGCAGCCTTTGATGATATATGATAATGCAGTTCTCATTGACTCCGGAGGACTTCGTGTACGTTCACGCAGTAATCTCTCGATTGTAGTTTCATGCTTCTTCAATTGCCTCGTATTCTTAGGTGTTTTTGGTATAGAAGAAGTGGTAGTTTGACTTCCAGTAGGAGTAATCTCTCGCAGGCTATACATCAGCTTTCCAAGCACCTCGTCCGGCTGGAAAGGCACCAAGCCGGAAGCTGAAAAGGCGTTCTGTATAGACGATTTCTTAAAGGCAAGTTCTCGGGCTTTGGGAAATGTATCCAAGAAATCAACCTTATCAATATGGTGGATTCCTTGGCGAATTAGCCGTTCAATCAAACCACCGTATGCCTT